GGGAACCCTTATTTGACTCACATTCCCTCTACTGTTAAACCTAAGAGGCGGGTCCACCAACTGTCCCTCTGCTGCCTACCTCCCTAGAGCAGGTATCCCTCTCCTTTGTGGAGACACTCAAAAGATGCCTCCAGTTCCCTCCGCTCCATGCCAGAGCAAGAGCCAAAGGCAGGCTGATCTCTCCCATCCTCAAAGGATTTTTAAAACAAGCAGTTTGACCTGCACTATGTCCTGCCAGAGTCACGTGCAGGAGGCCTGTTCTGGTCATCACACACTGGGGCACCAACAGTCCACAGTAGCTCTGCAACCCAGCACCCTGGGCTCCATCTCAAGGAGCCCTGGAACCATAGCCTGAGCCTAAGAGTGAGAGAGCATTGCTGGGGGCTCCCACCAGCCCCAGCCTGAGACCAGGAAAGGAAGAGAAACAGTTATCAGACCCATCAGGCAGAGGACCTTCCAAGGAGGCCATGGGGGATTCTGCAGGAGGAAGGAGGATCCAAGCTTTGATGTTGATCTGGGGGGCTCAGAAGATATGCCACCAGATCTTCTAAAGCACTGGCAACCATCAGGGTGATTAAGTGTGATGCGGACAGTGTAAGGTGATCCAAAGACAAGAACTGGGACACTTCCTAGCCTAGGAAAGAGGTCCTAATCCACAATGGGACTAAATGCTCCACTGAGGGTGTCTGTCCTGACCCAGAAAGTTGATGAGGAATCCTTGGCCACTTCCTCTCCTCCCACCTGATAGAACACATTACTACATTCTGAATTACAAAGACTCACATTTACAAATGTCTGCCACCGCCCCCCCCATCTGTACACTGATGTGAGGTGAGCTTATGCCAACAGGGCACCAGCACCCTCCTTTTCTTCTTTCAGAGTGACACCAATGTGTCTCTTATAAACTACCGGCTCCCATCTCAATGGACTGACTTATTAGAAACAAGGTCACAGACAATGTGCGTGTGCTGGTCCTTGTGAATAGGAAGCCTTTGGGAATAGGAAACCAAGAGTACATTCTAATTTTCCAACTGAGACATGGAAAGGAAGGGGAGTCCTGGCTTCCTGCTGTTGGGGTCCCCCAACATAACACATATTTACAGTACTTTCACTCAGCTCCACACACCTGCTGGATAGAGCCAATGCCATGGAGGAGGCAGGTGGGGAAGGAGAGCTGGAGAAGAAAGCAGGAACAGGGGACTTTCCAATTCAGCAGGGCACAATGATGACAGATTCTCCAATTTCCCCCCATCACTTCCCCACCTGGCCCCCAAAAAGCTGCTGGTAAGACCAGCAGTCACTTCCTGGCACTCTCCCCACCTGAGCCCCATCACAGTTCCCCAGCATCCCTCTGTAACAAACCCCCCAAGTCCTACCCAAGGCAGACCCTGAAGAGTTGTGAGGCTGAGGCAGCCACTCTGCTCCATCCTCAAGTGTGGATTCAAGCTTTGATCAGGAAAACAGGACCAGAAAGGACTCTTTTGGGTGACAGAGCTTATAGGCAGCACAGCCTAAGTAAGCCAGGCATTCTAAGGCCAGGGTTACTTGACCACACTCACACAGCTATTTTGTGTGGAAGTGTTTGTGGGAATGGGGGACCAATCATCATTCCCAACATCACTCCCTTAAAAAGTCAGGATGTGCATGGTCACTCATACCTGAAATTCCAACTACTCTGGAGGCAGCGATGGGGAAGGATCAGTTCAAGGCCAGCCTCAGCAAAAAAGCAAGACCCCCATCTCAACGCCAGGCATGGTGGCACACACAGGTAGGAGGATCAAGGTCTGAGGCCTGCCCCACACGAAAACACAAAACCCTACCTGAAAAATAAACAAAGCAAAAAAGAGCTAGGCACCAGGCGCCAGTGGCTCACACCTGTAATCCTAGCTTCTTGGGAGGCTGAGATCAGGAAGATCGCAGTTCAAGGCCAACCCAGGCAAATAGTTTGGAAGAACCCAACTCTAAAATAAGCAGAGCATAATGGGCTAGAGGTGTGGCTCAAGAGGCAGAGCACTTGCCTCACAAGCAAGAAGCCCTAAATTCAAGCCATAGTATCATTAAAAAAAAAGTTATCAAACATCTCACAACAGAACTTTGATCCTACGTTAAGAATGACCTGTACCCCACCAACAAAGGGAAGAGAATCAAGTGTTCCTCTGTTCTCACAATTGCATACTCTGTAGAAGGAACTGTATTTGTTACCTTCAAGGAGGAGCACCACTTGGCTGATAGCTGGACTGACTTTTGTACCATTTGAGCATTGAGCCATATGAACTTATGGCCCATTCAAAGTAAATACCAATACTTTTGTCCTGAAGCCCCAGGATGGGGAGTCAGGACTCCTGGTTCTGGCCCCAACTCTGCCACTCACCAACTGCTGCAAATTGGAGCTCACATAATATCTCTAGGTCATTTCCTCTAGTGTAAAACATGAGTGTGTCGAACCAGTGATCTGTGAGGCCTCAGCTATAGACTGAACATTTGTGTCCCTTGCCCAATTCATATGTTGAAATCTAAACCCCAATGTGATGGCATTAGAAGGTGATTAGACATGAAGATGAATGGGACTAGTGCATTCATAGAGGACCTAAGAGACCACAGTTTTACCTTTCTACCACGTAAGGTCACAGGTAGAAAGCGCCATATTTGAACCAGGAAGCAGGCTCTCACCAGTCGCCAAATTTGATAGCACCTTGATCCTAGACTTCCAGCCTCCAGAACTGTAAGAAATAAATTTCTGTTGTTTCTAAGCCACCCAGTTTATAGTATTTGGCAGGACATGGTGCTAGAGACTGAACCCAGGGCCTCACACATGCTAAGCACACACCGTACCAGTGACCCTCAGCCCCATGGTATTTTCTTACAGGAGCCCAGACTGACAGCCCCTTTCTACTCCAAAAGTCTACAGTTTTGGACTCCTAGCTACAGTACAAAATTTGAGGGTAGAAATGGGACAAGTCTTGTGAAAAAGTCCCTTTGAAGCTGGGTGCCCATGGCTGACGCCTGTAATCCTAGCTACTTAGGAAGCTGAAATTGAGAGGATCAAGATTCAAAGCCAGCCCAGGCAAAGAGTTCACGAGACCCCTATATCCAAAAACAACCAGAGCAAAATGGATTGGAGGGGTGGGTCAAAAGGTAGAGTGCCATTGCGGCGCTATTCACAATAGCCAAGTTATGGAAACAGCCAAGATGCCCCACCACTGACGAATGGATTAAGAAAATGTGGTATCTATACACAATGGAATTTTATGCAGCCATGAAGAAGAACGAAATGTTATCATTCGCTGGTAAATGGATGGAATTGGAGAACATCATTCTGAGTGAGGTTAGCCTGGCTCAAAAGACCAAAAATCGTATGTTCTCCCTCATATGTGGACATTAGATCAAGGGCAAACACAACAAGGGGATTGGACTATGAGCACATGATAAAAGCGAGAGTAGGAAAAGGGGAACAGGTACTAGAGAAAAGGTTAGATCAAAAAGAATTAACCTAGAAGGTAACACCCACGCACAGGAAATCAATGTGAGTCAATGCCCTGTATAGCTATCCTTATCTCAACCAGCAAAACCCCTTGTTCCTTCCTATGATTGCTTATACTCTCTCTACAACAAAATTAGAGATAAGGGCAAAATAGTTTCTGCTGGGTATTGAGGGGGGGGAGCGGGAGGGGGCGGAGCGGGTGGTAAGGGAGGGGGTGGGGGCAGGGGGGAGAAATGAACCAAGCCTTGTATGCACATATGAATAATAAAAGAAAAATGAAAAAAAAAAAAAAAAGGTAGAGTGCCTACTTTACAAGTGCCTGCTTTTCAAGTATGAAGCCTTGAGTTCAAACCCCAATTAAAAAAAAAAAAAAAAGTTCCTTTGTAAACTCTGGTCTAGGAAGGTTTTGTGTGCCCCCTGCCCTGAAGCCACCCCATTTCTAGATCCCAGGTCTTTAGACCAAGTTGCCCAGAAAAGCGCAGTGAGTCAGGAGGAAGACAGGAGGTGCTAACAGGGAGCAGGGCCAACAGAACTTGACTTTCAGAGAAATATGGATCTGGTTCAAGTCCTGATTATTAGCTGTGTGACACACTATCATGATTTAACCTCTCTGAGCGTAAATTTTCTCATCTATAAGGTAAGAATACCAACTTCAAAGGGTTAAGACTACACGAACATGAAAAGCACATAGCCCGCAGAAGGGGTTCAACAGATGCCAACTTGCTTGTTTCCTCCCTTCTTCCTTCCTTCCTAGAAGTGGGGACACTGGGCTGAGCTCTTTTGTGTTTCAAGTTGGTTTTCATGTGCAAACCTATGAAGCATAGTCACCTCAGTTGGTTCTCCTAGCAATTTTGTTGTTACAGATCCAAGACAGTATATAGGCTGTGCATCCACTAGAACAGAAAAAACCCCGCCTAATTTTGCCAGCTTAAAACTTGGCGGGAGGGGAGCTTAGCTTTCATTTATCTGCATAGAAGGAAGCCCACAGACCTATGGGAAATGACATGCCATAGGTCGTCAGCTGGTGAGTGGAAAGGAGGAGCAGCAAAGGGAGGGATAGAAAATGTCAGCACTTTCTGAGGACTGGCAGTGGGTAGAGGGAACTCTGGGGGAGCAGGGAGAGTGCAGGGCACCACACTTTACTGGGGACCCCAGACACTTAGAGGCCTTTGAACTTTGGCTTCTACTCATCCATAAAAATGGAGCAGAAAATATCTGCTCCATCAATGTCTACATTGTTGAGATGATTAAATCAGATACCCAGGGAAGTGTTCATGAATAGTAATTTTTCCTTCCTCTCTTCTCAGAAGGAAACATCCAAAAGAGGACACATTCGCATGACTACTTTGTAGAAAATGGACCTGCAGAGATTTAATTGATGCAGAAAACACAGGATTGTCACCAGAGTTGGTCATATCACATGAGCTATTCCCAAAGCACACAGAATGAGCCAAATAACAAAATGAATTTTTTCTGTGTATGGTCGGCTGATGCCGAAAATATCTCAAAAAATATCTGAGAGTACAAAAAAGCCATTTGGATCCCATTGTCTTATTTCATGGCAAAGGAAAGCTTGGTGGGACTGCTAGAGCTGGTTTCTGTGGGTTGGAGGGGCAAAGGCAACCCTGCAGCTTTGAAGACATGAAAAATGGAGGCGTTTTGTTTAAACAATGGAACAGATGTCAGAGAACATCACCTGCCACCCCTGAGGAGCTGCTGATGGGAAGTGGAGATGCAGGAAGCTGTGCCAGTCAAGCAGCAGCTCCACCTGGTACAAGGCCTCCCTGCCAGGGCCAGGCACCGGCCCAGCCCCTAATGCCAAGCTCTGGGAGAAGAGGCAGCAGTGGGATCAGGCTAGGGGTGGCACAGGTAGAAAAGACAGATGGAAACAGGGCCCATGGATACATTTGGATGTTGTAGGAAGAGAAAAACCGAAACAAGGACCAGAGGCCACCCGGTCTTTCCCTATGGCTTTTTGGTTTCCTAGAGAACGGGGGTGCTTAAGACCTGAGAGTTGGCTGGGAGGCCCAGGAAGGACCCCCCCGCCAAGACAAGGGGAGGGCCCGTGAGGAAAGCCCCAAAGAAAGCAGTGCCAGCCCAGGGAAATGAACAAAACTTCTGGGGCCCAGCCTCCAGCAGCCTCAGCAGGGCTCCAGGCAGATGAGCCCAGTGCCAAGATAGTCAAAAGAAAACAAAATGCTCAAGAAAGGAAACAACAAAAAAAAGAAGAAAGAGGAGACAGGGAATCTGATCTCTATGAGGCTGAGGTATTAAAGAGACGTGCAGGCCCAAAAGAGGCAGGTGCTGGGCAGAGACATGCTGGGAGGCCTTGTCTGGGTAAATTAAGGACCCCACACCTAACCTTCATGAAAGCCCTAAGCAAGGACCCGAAGGCCAGGGGAAAAACACAGCTATAGGATTCCTGCGGCCTCCAAAGGCAGCTCTTCTAATGACACCTTTCTCTCAAGAGGTGCCCACGTCCCTGAGGGCTCTCAGCAGCTTCACCTCCTCAGTGCTGCCATGTTCACACAGAGCTCACAGAAGTCCACACATTTCAGCTCAAGACGGTCCGTGGTCACAGAGTAGCTTACTATTTCCAGCAGTATCATCCTTTTCTCCTACCCCTGGCTCCTGTAGTTCCTCCAAGTCTTGAGTGGGGCATGCGGCAAAGAGGACAGGAGAAGAAGGCTTTATCAGAGGGAGTGTCATGCAGGCAGTTCCTCAGGCACTTGGTCTGGGGGAGGAGGCCAGCTGCCCTGGCTCCCATCAACTCAGTGGCGATATACATTCAGTCTGTTGTTCTCATCCAGGCCCAGCTGCAGAAGCCCTGAAGTGGCTGCTGGCTTGGGCACTGAGGAGAAGAGATGTCTGGCCACAAGGTGAAGGAAAACTGTGAGGAGCTGAGCATGTCCAGGCGGGGGCCAAGAAAGGGTCAAAGGCCAAATAGGGTCCTCCTCGGATCTTGTTCCAATCTGAAAGGCACCAGTTTTTTGGTGGGAGGGGCTGGGTCAGCTGGCCACTACAACAGGGAGGGACTGGGGCCTGGGAACCAAATAAAAGGATACGTCTGGGGGTCGTTCCTGAAGCGTTCTAGCCACTTGCGGTTAGACTCAATCATGCCCTGAATGCTGGTGCTGCTCATCTCGGGGACTCGGGAATGGGGTCGCTGCAGGAGGCGGAGCTGCTCACTGGGAAGCGGAAAGAGAGAGAGGGTGTGGGGAGAGGAAGAGAGCAGACATGAGTGCAGGGAGACTTGCAGTAGAGCTAAGTGGAGGCCATGGCAGTGCCTCTTCCCTCTTCCTCTCACAGAACCATCAGCAGCCTTTGCAGGATCTCAGCAATCCAAAGCTGCCCTTGTGAAAGACAAGTACCAACTCCTAAAAAGGAAGGTGGTGGCTGCCTCCGTCCCCTTCCTGGGTGCTTGCTGCTGACATCCACTCCAGACTCCCACATCTGCCTTTTCCAGGCCGATCTCATCAGCAAGAAGCTCTCGTCTGTCAACTCAAATACTTGCCCAGCCTTGGCTCCCAAGCTTGCCTCCCAAAGAGACGAGGGGGTACTTGTATTTGGGGCCAGGGTGGGGGATACATTTGGCAAAGAATGAGATGAATGGGAAATTAATAACAGGTTTAAATAATTGCCTGTCTGTCTCCCACGTGGGGTGTCCCTCTCACTCCAGATGTTGCGCGGCAGGACTCAAGCAAGAAGGGGACCGAAGAAAGCAGACAAAGAACTCAGTGGCAAAGACAAAGGCCAGACTCCAGGGCTGGAAGGGCATTAGGATGGGCCAGTGTGCAGGGGCCCATGCGGGCTGATTCGCCCCCACAGGTGCCACAGGACAGCTTCTTTGTAGAGTCCCACCCACACTGGACCTCAGCAGTAGAGACCTGACTCTTGGCTGTGGGTGGCGCCTCAGATCTAGGCAAGGCATGGGCAGCTCTGTGGACTGGGGACCTGCCTGGCCTCCTAGAGCAACAGGACCTGGAGGTCTGCTCCCTTCCAAGGTCCCCTTAAGCCCAGGGAGGTCCCCCCAGCCCAGGGTGGCACAGTGATTATAGGGTCTACCCTGAGACAGGGAGACTTACCTGACAGATACGTAGCCCAGTCTGTTCTCCAGGGGAGTGGGACAGCTGCTGAGCAATGGGATACCAGCTGGCAAGTGGGAAGAGAGAGTTCTGAGCCAGCAGTGGGTCAGATGAGCCAGCCCCAGACTGGGCCAGCCACCTCCCTGCTCACCACTCCCTCCTGCCTCTGGGGATAAGGTAAACATACATAAGCAGAGAAAGTTCCAGTAGTTGAAAGTGAGATGAGTGACAGGCAGGAATTGTCCTATTTATTGTATTTCTAAAACTTAATCCATTTTTCAATTTGGGTTGGGCCAGAAAGAAGAGAGATTTTTACATTTTCCCTCAAATGACTATGTCATTATCACTTCTCACATTCCTTAGCAGGGCTATGAGACCAGGGGAGACCATCAGGCCCAGCAGTAAGGGGGAAGCCAGACAGTCAAGGGGTCATAAGCAGAATTCTGCAGTCATGAAGAGATGGGGTCAAAACCTGATTTCTGGGGGCTGGCAGAGTAGCTCAAGTTGTAGAGTACTGGCCTAGCAAGTGTGAGGCCCTCAGTTCAAACCCCAGTACTGAAAAAAAAAAAAAAAAAGGTTTCTTATTCACTTACTGGGCACCCTGGAACATACTACTCAACCTCACTGAGCCTCAGCTAACTCATATATAAAATAGGAATAATTACTCAAAATTATGACATGGTCTAAATGAAAAAAATGTCTATATATATAATGCCTGGTCCATAATATACTGCACAATATGGTAGCCATTACGATATGACGAGAAGGATCTTTTAGATTCTGTTGCACTCTAGAATACGTAATAAAGGCTCCAAGAAGCCCAGCTTCCATATAAAGCTTCCTGACCCACAGAACCTCCAGCTGTAGTGACACCAAAGGTCTTCTCCACCAGAGATCCCAAACATAGCCAGTGGAAGAAACTCAGAGGCAGAAGCAAGGGGTACATGAAGGAAAGAAACAGCAAGAGCAGGAGAAAGAAGGCAGAAGCAAAGGGAGGGGAGGAGGAAGAAAGCAGAGGGCACAGCCCAGAGTAAGCAGCTGAGGGAGGCTCACAGGGAAAATACTTGCGCCACTTCTCCAGCAGGAAGTCATCCATTGTCTGCACCTTGGAGGAGGAGAGCCTGGGGCCCAAGGCTGGGTCCCAGGCCCACTGGGTGGACGTGGGTGTAACAGAGGATGAGGTTGAGACCCTGGCCAGGGAGGTGTAGGTGGGGCTGGGGGCACTCTTGGGGGACCGTGGTGAGAAGGAAGCTGGCGAGGAAGTGAAGAGTGGTGGTGGCTGAGAGTTGAGGCTGCCCAGCACAGTGAGGACTCCATTGAGCTCACTGCTAATCCGCTGCAGGGAGCTGCTCAGGTAGTGGATCTTGTTGGGGAAGATGGGGATGGGGGTTGAGGTGACTGAAAGGAAAGAGGCACATGGTGGGGAAGGACTCAGGTTCTGGAAGAGCCCAAGCCCAACAAGCACCCCAGCACCTGACAGGTGCCCCTCGCTGTTCCTGCAGACAACAGTTCCTCAGCCTTGTGAAGGGACAGAGGATGGACGGCAGGATTGTTCCAGACAGTGCAGATACTGAAGCAGGAGCACAGCACCCAGAGACAAGGTAGCGAGATGGTCCTGCCCAGCTGCAGGCCAGAGTGGCAGAGGGCAGGCTGCCTCCAGGAGGCCGTGAGAAGAGAAGAAGCTACAGGGACACACTGCACATCCCAAGGCTTTCCCTGGCCCTTTAAGCCCTGCATGCAGCATACTCAGGTGGCTTCACTCCTTCCCTAGTCCAGACACCAGGTCACACACTTATCTGGCAAGGCTGAGGGAAGGGGAATGGACCTGGGTCCACACATTGTTCCTTCTCCATGGATGCGGGAGACTTCACCCCTCCTCTCCCTCCTCACTCCCTGCTGCACCACCACTCACTATGAGGCAGGGAAGAGGATTCAGAACTCTCACTGCTCATGTCTTCCAGATCACTGAGGTCAAATGTCACCTTCTTGGTGGAGGTTCCCCTCAGAGTGTCCTCATCTGAAGCCTGACGGGTAGAAGCAACCATTAGTACTGACCCTTCCTATGTGCTTTCTACCACACCGGCAAATCAGTTCTTCTGGGGCCCATGACTCCACCAGGCACCCTGAGAGAGGTGTACCACATAGGCTACCTCAGTAGGGAGACCAGGCTAAGAAAGCCCAACTGCCTGCAAAACAGGCCACAGAGCCTCCAGGACCAGACGGACCCCACTGACCTTCCCTACTATCCACCCAGAGTCTCTCCACCTAAGTATTCCTGTGGCCACACCTAAGCCTCAGGAGTGTAGGGAAAAATGTGCATGGTCCCAGAGAAGGTATGGACACATGTGACACCTGTCTACTCTCCACACTCTAGTCACACCTCTCCTAGTAGCATGCAGGGAAGGACAGGGGCCAGTCCCCTTCTCTGACCCTTGACAAGAGGGTGCTCAGGACCAGCAGCACAGTCAAACCCACAGACGTGTTGACAAACAGCCGATGCTACTGCCATTTCACCAGCCAGGAGCCCAAGCCAACACCAATTCTGGATCTGAGAGGCCTAGTTCCCACTTATCCAGGACCAAAGAACCCAAACCAATCCCAGGAGTGGAAGAGGGAGACAGGGCCACACTGGGCTATGTGGTCACAGGTGATACCTCTTCCAGAAGAGAGGATTCCAGCTGATTCAGCTTCTCTTCCTTCTTCTTTAGCAGGTCATGGCCTTTTCGCATGGCAGACTTCATCTCATCCAGGTGCCTGGTCTCCTGCAGATGGGAACAAAGGGAAGGAAAGCTAGAGTCCTAGCTCTTCCATTTGCTGACTGACTGGTCTTGAACAAATCACCTGACTCTCAGGTTGCTCATATGAAAAGGGGAAATATGATTTTTTTCTCAGTCATGAGAACTAAATCAGAGTATGTTACATGTTTAATACCACACCTACATCTAGTAAATTCTCAGATGGTTACTGTTAACCAAATGGTTATTATTGTCACTGCCCCAACTAGCTGCCACCACTCCAGCAGCAACAGCCTGGCCATAGTTGAGAGGGATCAGGCAGGGCTGTAACAAGGTGTGGGGCAGCATGGACACACGCAAAAAGCCGGCCCTTTTTGCTCTGCTGCCCCAAGCCAAGCATAGGTGCCACAGAACCTGAGTCCCTCATCGGTTCTAGCACTATCAGAATTCTAAAGGCTCAGGTGTGACCCAAGAGAACCCACTCTGCTGGGACCTCAAATGGTGCAAAGCCCTGCCACACTAACTAATGATGATGAAGTCTCTGCCTTCTCACTGCCAAATTAGACTATCAGAGAAGCAAACTCAGTTTTATGATGAATGTGTCTGAAAGATTTTCATTTATGAATGATGTTTCAGTGTATTTGAATGGAAAAGCAGAGCATTGGATTTGAATTTTTCTTCATCTGGAAAGTGGGAGTAAATGGTTGAGCGTCCCTTATCCAAAAAGCTTGGGACCAGAAGTGTTTCAAATTTTGGAGTTTCAGATTTTGAAATATGCAAGTATTCCAAACAGACTTTACTGGTTGAATGGATTTTCAGATTAGGGATGCTCGACCTGTACCATCTTGCACATTGTATATGGTGAACATGAGGATCAATTTACTGTCAGAGTTTGCACACCATGCGTTGCCACAAAATGCCAGTGACCTAAGGGTTTATGTGGCCTTTCTCATAGTATCCCCAAGAATGATCGGCTGGAGAGACCCAAAGTTGAGGATCTGGTAGCCCCAGGCCTCCCTGCACAGGGTTGACAGGCTCTCCTCCAGGCTCCTGACCTCCTCCATGTTCTTGCGCACATCTTCCAGGACCTTGGTGCCTGGTGGGTCTTCAGCCTCTTCCTGGGCACTGGCCAGCTCGTGGCGCCAGTGCTTCTGGGCAGCTTTCAGAGCCGTCTGCCGCCTACGCATGGAGCGTGTCTGCCGTACCAGGAACTCCTTGGCACTACGCACAGCTATCCCTTCAGCAGAGAGGTAGTGCCGGACACTGTGAGAAGACAGGCAGAGTAGGCAAAGTGGAGAAGGAAAAGGGAGGACTGTGAGAGTGCTACTCTGGGGTACAGGGCCACTTCCCCAGCAAATGCTCACCTGAACACACACAGAAGCTGCTGGGCTGGTGCTGAACAGTATAGGGGAGGCCACTGTTAAACACTTAAAGCATGTGGCACATGCAACAAATAGTCCCCTACCCTGACCCTGCAGACAGATGGCCAGACACTCCCAGCAGTCTGACCCTCAACCAGAGATCATCAGAGACTAGCATGCTGTGTCAAAGGTCACAGAGGGCAGCAGCTTGGCTTAGCAGAAAAGATTCCTTCATCCTTGGGCCTCCCGCTAGAGCCAAGCCCACTAGTGGTCACTGTCAGTGATGCAGCTCTGTGATGCAGTTACTCCCTTACCCCTTCCTGGTCCCCTCAGCTCAGATTGTGGGAACTCACCGGTCCATAGACAGGTCGATTTCCTCCTTGCTCTGGGAAAGAGAAGATACCTCTGGAGTCTACTGTGGTTCTATGGACACACAGTAGAAAAGAGGCACTGAGTGCAGCAAAAGCAGACTCTGCAGCTCAAGAGACCTCGAAGGTTCTCCCAGTGGCCTAGACAAGGAAATGGCTGTGCCAGCTGCTAGGCACCCTTCACTTACAGGTGCCATCTGACTGGTATAGAGAGCAGGAGCCTTGGATTAAGAAAGGATGCCAGGTCATAAACAGAGCATAGCCAAGCCCCATCCAAATGCCCCGCCCTCCTGATGCTCCCCCACCAGCCCCAGCCCCAGCTCACTGTCCCAAGGGATCTCCTCAGGTCCTCAGTGTGGAGATCTGGCTCAAAATGTGGGGAAGCATTACTTTCCTCAACTGCCAGCTCCTTCAAGATGGCCCGCTTCCTCTGAACTTCGGCCTCTAGGCTGCTGTTGGTGGGAAACGGAGCGGGAGGTGGGGCTGAGAGGCAGGGCCATGGGAAGCGGGCCAGCAGCACACTGCTGCGGCTAGCTGCAGGTTCCCACTACCATGGGGAAGTGCTAAGGCGTGAAAGCAGAACCAGGGGATCTCCTGCTTTTCAGTCAGCACCCAGCTCCCTACTAAATGCAGAAACACATGCCCTTCTGCCTGCCTTCCAAGTTGGGCCCTCCCTTCCCTATTAATTGGGCCATGATGAGATGGGACCCAGAGCAGCAGAGGGCAGTGGCAGGAGATGGACAGGAGCTAGCTATAGGAGGCACATTCCACCTGAGGTGCTTCTGCAGCCTCTGACTCTGCGTCTGCAGCAGATCCACCTGGGACTCCAGCTCTATCTTTCGGACCCGCAGCTCTTCAAGCACCCTTCGGAGCTGCCGCTTTGACTCCAACAATACGTGTGCTCCTTCTTCGCTTCCTCCAGATGCTGCCGTGTGACTGTTGTTTCCTAGGGACAGAGAAAAAGATAGGAGTACCCAGAGACACAGAAGGAAGAGGGCAGGGTGCAAGCAGCACTAGAGGATATGGAAGTCAGAAGAGAATGGGACAGGGATAAAAGTCAGAGTCACTGGGATTGGGGTGACCTCCCACCTCAGTCCCACTCCCTCTGGTTCTTGAGTTGTGTTCATGGAGTGGCATGATTTGTGGAATACTGACCAATACAGTTTGGAACCCCAGTGCCCTGGACAGAGCAGGTGCACAGAAGGTGAGATGGAGTGAAACAAAGGAGGCAAACAGACCTCCCTCTCCAGAGCAGCCTGTCTCTGCTCGTCCAGCAGCTGCTGCTTCTCCTTCCGCACTGTCTCCTCCTGGGGGAAATGGACCCTGGGCTGACTGCAGCGCCCCAGGCTGAGGGGAGCCTGCCCTCTCCTAGAGGTGTGGACTCCAGGGCACCCTGAGGCAGGGCATATCTACCCTCCATTCAACTCCCTCACCTGGACATTCAGCTGAGCCAATCTGGCCTTGACATCTTTAGTTCTGGTAGCAAGTTCCATCTCTAAATCTTGGAGTTTCCTCTCCTGCCCGGAAGTGTAATGAGAGAAAGACATAGGTATAAAAAGGCGTGAGGCATTCGCAGGGGCAGGAGGGGATCTGAAGCCCACCATACCACAGCACAACCTCCATGCTGGCTCAGGCTTCCTTCTTCCACTGTGGCCCTGCAGCCTCAGAACGTACCACACCTTACTGATTCCACTGAGGGCAAAGCCTCAAAGCCTTCCTTTCAAAGCCCATGGATGTTCCAGGGCCCAGAAAACAAAGGGGCAAAGATGCTCCCACTCCTGAGGCTGCCTCAGCATCAGCTGCCATCACTTTCTATCCTGCAGGGAAGTCTCCAAGGGCCTCCCAGCCCCAGGCCCTTACCTGCTCCCGCTGCCGGCACTGAAAGTCCTCAAGCTGCTGGTCCTGCTGCTGCCTCACAGTCTCTAACTCTCGCTCATGGGCCCTGCGCAGGCGCTCCAGCTCTCCAGTCAGGTGACCCAGAAGGTCAGCCCGCTGCTTCCTCTCCTGCAAATAGGGTAGGGCCATTGGTGGGAACCTGAAGTCTCCCCCATCCCTGCAGCCTTGGGTCAATAAGATCAGGGTCCCATCAGCTCTGCTCCCCAAGGCAGCTCTTAGAGAAGGGGAGCAGCACAGATAGCACAGACCAACCCCAGGAAGCATTCCCCCCCACTCCCCTCAGCTGTAGCAACGCTGGCCAGATGCCACGAGGGAAACCCCCTTTGGGGGCCTGGCTCTCCTACTGCCACATGGTGTACAACTTCTCTTAAAGGAAGCCAGTCGATTATCTAATTTCAACAAGATCAGAATTGGTCTGTGAAGGGACACAGCTAAACTTGGTCGTAGGACTGCAATTTCTGCCCTGGAAGATTACAGGACGAGTCTGGGATGTGGATTTCTGTTACTGGAGCAAGACTCTAAAAGTCTTCCACAGGGGCCAAAAGTCACCACCCTGGCCCTGTTCACCATTCACTCCCAACATGAGCAAGCCAAGCTGGCTCAGGTCCACTAAAGCGACTTGAATTTTGTCACTTCAAAGCCAAGGATGAAGATGGGTAGACAGCTAAACACCATTTGGCTCTTGTCAGTCTATCTCTTGGTGTCCTGAAATTTCATGAACCTGGGTGGCATGGTTGGAGTGACTAAAACTGAAGTCTTTGGAGTCAGACAGCTACACTAGAAACCTAGCTCCTCTATATGTCAGGAGGGTTAGTCTTGGGAAGTGACTTGAACTGTCCAGGTCTGTGTCCTTATCCCTAAAGTGGAGACAATGACAGTGCACATCTCCCAAGGCTACCTACCATGAGGACTAAACAAGTTAAGATGCCTAAAGTGCTCAGAGCAGCACCTGGCACATAGAATAAGCTCAGTACTTGTCAGCTGTTATGACCATTAAAAGGAAGCACAGCCTGCTTGAGAGAGAGGATGCACCTCTTCCTGGAGGGGCTTTCTAAGACTTCAGGAAAAAGTCAAAACACTGACTTCACCACCACAGGGTGCCAGGGTTCAGCCCTTCCCATGCTCACTTCCCCAAAAGCTGCTGGGAAGGACCCCAGGGCCAGTGTGCATATACATTTCTGTGTGTGTGAGCAGGTGCACACAAACGTCAGGGGATGTGGGTGAGCTACCTCAGCTTCATACTGCTCTCTGGCCTCGGCCATCACTTGCTGGTGTTCCTCCTTCATCTTGTCCATCTTCCTCTCGTGCTCCCTTTCCACCTCCTGTCGCTTCTCCCTCAGGAGGCTGCTGAGCTGCAAGGGAACATCAGGGATGCAGCATGCAGGACTGGAGTGGGCAGCACACAGGTCCTGGTGCACCTGAAGGTCTCACACATGCCTCCCAGTGTCCCTGGCGCACACCACACACACACAAATCACACACAAGGCACCAAGGCATGCACATAGCCATATCGCACCACCTCCCCACAGGTGTATAGGGACTGGGGACAGAGAAGGACCTGACCTTGAGGAGGGTAGACATAGCAATGGAACCAGAAATGCCAAACCCACTGAGCTATCCACAGTAGAATGGAGCACACTCAAGCCGAATGGCCCAGCAAACTGGACTAGAGCTGACACACATCAGCACTCACCTCTTGCTCATACCCCATCACCTGATGAACCTTCAGGTGAGTTCTCTGCTCTGTCCATCCAAGGCTCTCCCACAGCTGTGCCTCCTCTTTCTGTTGAGCTTCCTCTATCTTCTTCTGGAGGCTGGAGACCACCTGAGGCAACAGCACACACTATGGAGTGTGACCCTCAGGGAGAAGTGGAGCCACCATGCAGGCACTTACTCCCAGGGACCCAGCACACATCCCAAGGACCTGCAGGGAAAGGGAGGCTTGCTCCCCATGGGCAGAGGTGGGGTTGAGCTCTCTGCGGAACTAGCATGCCCAGGCTCTGCCTTCTTGGGCCAGGCAGTTCACATCTCACCTCCTTGTGCTTGGCCTCCAGCGAAGTTTGGAGCCGCTCCAGCTCAGCACAGTGCTCCCTCTCCAGCCCTGCCACTGCCTGAAGAGCAGCAGAGGGCCTGTGAGGAAAGCAGGGCAGGGACACTGGGCAGTACTGATCACGGGGAAGGTGGGCCCAGGAAGACTGCCCTGAACTCCTCAAGATAAGGGGCCAATGGGAAGCACAGGCACAACTTTGTTCTGAAATAACTCTATCCCTAAAGTATCCAGATGACAAATGGATAGAACATGAAGGCCAGAGTAGAGAGGTCTTTCAGTAGGCCACAGGTCCTTAGCCCCTGCCTCTGGGCTGGGCCACAGGTACACAGTGAGCTCGCAGCTGTGAAACTCAAGCCAGGGAGGCTGGAGGTGTCAGCATAGTCTCTCTGAGCACTTGCAGCACAATGACTCTCTCAATGCAGCAGTTTTTCTGTGTCTAATAGCCAAAGCTCATTCCTCACCAAAATAAAAGTTCTATATGGCCTATTACTTCAGCATCTGACCTAGAGACAGACATAGGGTTCGAGGGAGAAGAGGACAAAGGAAGACCCCATACACACCACACACACACACACACACACACACACACACACACACACACACACACACACACACACACGTACAGCCTCTTATTCCTAAGCATAGAAGAGCAGGGAAAAAAGTCACTATACCTGTCCCACATGGACAGAGGCAGGGCACCCTTGTCTCAATTTGCCACTGACCACACCGTGCCCCACTCTGGGAGGCCTCAGGACACCTGCTGCGTCCTCTTCCTTACCAAGGAGAATGGGCCAGCACCTGCCCTGAGCCAAGTCAGGTCTACTAGGAGTAGTAGGCCCAGACAGTCAGCTCCTGGTCTCTCAGCACATCTGCGTGTGACACCATTGTCTGCCTGGCTCCTCTCCCTCTGCACTCGGTCCCTCCACAGGCAACCTGAGTTGTGTCAGGAAAGGGGAGGCCCCACTTGACTTGCTCACTTCCTTCCTCTCCCTTTCCAGCTGCTCCTTCAACTGCTGCAGAGCTGCTTCGTTCTCAGCCTTCAAGGTGGCCCGTGATCTCTTCTCCGAAGCTTCCAGCTCCTCCCTAAGCTGCTCCAGCGCCTGCCTGCTTTTCTGCTCCAGGCTGGCCCTCTCAGCCTCCTGCAGGGATACCACCTCTTCTCTCAACCTCTGCAGGGAAGCCTTGTGCTCGGCTCTGGGTAGACATAACAGAATGGGGACAAGCCATACACTTAGGTGCCCCCCATGGGGCGGGGCAGTTCCCCGTGTGCACTTACCTCATCTGGTCCTCATCTGCTTCTGTGCTGGACTGGACCTGGGCTCGAAACTGGGACAATCTCCGGTCTTCTTCCTCTCTCATTCGAGCCTCCTCCTCCTCGGCAGCCTTCTGCAGCTGCTCCTTCAGGGTGCTGAGAAGGCAAGGCAAGGCAGATTTATCAAAGGGATCACAGAGGTCTCTCCTGGTTTATTCAGACGTCCTACCTCCAAGAGCCCTGCGGCCTACATGAAGCATCCTCAAACAAAGAAGAGTCTGCTCTGTCTCTGGGTCCATGTATTCTCCCTCTTAGCGCATCAAGGTGGCAGGAAACTCTACCTACCCTTTGCCACAGCAAACAATTGCAGGCTGCTTGGTCCCAGGCTCCTCTGCCTACAGGCTCTCCTCTGCACGGGATTCACTCAAGGAAGGTTACAGCCACTCCAACCTGAATCTGGATCCACATTCTTGCACTCCCCACCCTCTATACTGTTCTAGATACATCAGATGTATCACCATGTCTAAACCTTGCCACACTCTTCCTTGGCCTTTGCTCATGCTGGTTCTTCTGCCTAGAATTCCATTCTTCCTCCTAAGTCATATTCACTGCTCAACACCCAGCTCCCTCCTCTTAAGGACACCTCTACAAACCCCAGGATCCATCGATGCACCTTTCCTGTCATACCAAGTACATGGACCCTTCTTATTCCACGCTATCCTGTATTGTGCAGCATACTGCACCAGAATCAATCTTTCCTATCTCTGTTTTCCTTGCAGGTCTAGGAGCTTCTCCAGTGCAAGAGTCTTGTCTTCAAATCTGTTACATCCCAAGCACTGAACACAATTAACTGGCATAAAGTAGATGCTCAATGTAAGTGTTGGATTTAAACACTATTATCCAGCCCCAAACTGTAAGCAAGCCCTGACTATCCAGGAAAGATATTTTATCTACAGATCAATGATAGCTGTGACTATTTCACTCAAAGCAGACATACAGCTGCTTACACAAACCATATCCTTTTTGGGTAACTCCTCATACAGCCCCCAAACCAAGGGATGTGTACTGCATACTTAAGGAATTTGGCCCTAAGAAAAACCACATGATTCAAGCTGGTATGTTAACACATGTCTATAATCTCAACACTCACGAAGCTGAGACAAAAGGATCAAGAGTTCAAGGCCAGCCTGGAGTACACAGCAAGTTTCAGGCCAGCCTGAGCTACATAGTGAAACCCTATGTCAAAAAAAAAAAAAAATTCCAAAGTCATTTTGATTTAGGATTGTTTCCTACTTCAAGTTACTAGCACCACTGCTCTCTTCCATATGAGAGGAAATTTGAGTTAAATAAAAATTGTTCCTTCTAGACTCCCCAGAAACCCTTTCCCTTTTTTGAATGGCTAAATTTATATATAGCAAAACCAGACACTAGAACTGGCAGGGACATTAGAGAGAAATCCACTCTCTCCATTGTATAGCTAAAGAAACTGAGGGTCAAGCATGCCTGCCTTCTCTTGTTACAAAATCAGCTGTGCCTTCTAGAAATTTCTACCCAGTGGAAGTTTCCTACAGAGAGAAGGGGGCCCACCCCTCAGAAAGGCTCAGGTGTAAACAGAAACAACAGTAGCCAGTGGCTCACACCTGCAATCCTAGCTACTCAGGAGGAAAAAGATCAGGAGCATCTTGGTTCGAAGCCAGCCCAGGCAAATAGTTCAAGGGACCCTATCTTGAAAAAACCCATCACAAAAAAGGGCTAGCAGAGGGGCTCAAGGTGTAGGCCCTCAGTTCAAGCCCCAATACTGCAAAAAAAATTTTTAAAAACAGAAACAACAGGTTTCTTGTGATAAACTGTTTTGAGGACAGCTAGGCAAGGCTGCACCCACAGAGAAATTACTTAGTCAAATCTGGCTGAAACTACTGATTTCAACCAAGAAAAGCAAGTGCTGTACGGAGCAACTATTATGTTCCAGGCCCTGAATCAGCACCGCCAGCATGCTAGCCTCTACCACAAACTGACAGGGCTGTTAGGAACCCCTCTGGGGTCCAGAGATGCAGGCAATGTGAAGTACAGTCAGAGTAGTCAGAAAGAAGGGAGAGCCTGGTGGCCTGGCAAAGAGACCCCACCAAGATTTCCTCCAATGTGGTTCATTTTAAGGGCAGCTGGGTCACATCCTGCTTGAGTAGGCCCTGGCTACCAAAAGAAACATGCCATGGGAGGTCTGTTCTTTGGGGTCCCAGCTGGAACCCAAGAGGGCATGACAGAAGTGCAGAGCTGGGTCAGCAGATCCTGTGTTAGGTTAATGAGAGGGACTGTCCCTGGCCCAGCTGGTACTCAAGTGGTGGTTTTCTATTTTATTTTCTGCAAATTAAGCATAAAGCCTTTATACATTCATCACTATGTATAATCTTAAAATACTAATTCTCTATCACCCTTGGATGTTCTTGTCTAAAATGACAAGATTTAGCCTTTAAATTGCCAAATAAACAAAATACATAAACATTTTTTTTGGAGCACCTTTCTCACCCTTGGACTATGACAGGTTGCTCCTCTCCTTCTCTGTATCCATTTGCCCTTTTCTCCTTACTAACAGAACTCTGATTTTATTTTAGCACAGAAGGAGGCCAGCTAAAGGACTACGTTTCCCAGTCACCCTTACAACCAGGGTAACTAATGAGACACAGTGGCAGTTACTAGGAAGGTTTCTATGGGCATCCCTGTGGGGCCCAGGGCTCAGCCCCTATGTCCCTCGCAGGGAAGGAGCAGGACCTGAGGGTCTTCTCCTTTTGCTGGCGAAGCTGGAGCATCTCCTCTTCCTCCTCTTGTCCCAGCTTCTCCCGCAGTTGCTGCAGCTTCTCTTGCCGTGACTCTAGTAGCTGCCTCTGGACTTCCTCAAGTTCCTCAGCTTCTTGCATGGCCTTTATTGCAGCCTCTGAGAGTTGCTTTGGGGAAGCTGTAGGCTCTGAGGATCGTCTGCAGGGGATGAGGGGTAGCTTATCACTTCAGCATTAATATCCACTCACCTTTTGGCACTGGGGTCCACATAGCTACAGAAGGCCCACGGAAAGGAAATAAACAAATCAGGTCACATAGGGCAGGCAATAAGATACAGTCAACATCCGTTCTATGGAACAAGACCCACTGAAGCTGAATAAGGCCCAATGACCTAGGAGAAGGGCAGCTCATAGCAGGCTTCCAGTACCTGGTAGGTTATGGTCTGAGAGCAAAAGTTGAAGCTGTAGCTCAAGAGCTGGCAGAACAGGGAGAGTAAACATCTACCCTAATGGATTTCTCCCCAGAATGGCTCATAGCCCTGTGTCCATGTCCCCATTAGAGCTCTGTTCACTACTTAAGGCTTATGCCAACAATTTGGAAACAGTCCCCAGAGACTGCTCTCTGCTCCCAAAACGGAACAGAGGCCAAGACAATGTATATGAGCTGGCTGGACAAGCAGCAAACTCCCCTCCCTCTCACCAATAGAGCCAGGCAGGAGACCTTCACTGAGCCAAAACATAGCAGGTTTTCATCTGCTCGAAGTTAAGTGTTTTTGAAATGGGTGGAAAAAATTCAGAGCTAACCTGGATGCACACCTAAGTAGTGAGTAAGGTAAGGTAATGGTATTGGTTTACAAGATGTCTATAGAGTAAAAAGGACTGTCATTTGGCTTGTTTTCTGCTTCTTGGAGGAAATACCAACTGAAAGTCTGAGACCATTTTGAGCAATGAAGGCATAAGCATGATAAAGCATTTCACCTCCCAGGGTGACTTTGCACTCTGGGTCCCTGAACCTCAAGTTAGCACACAGCCATCACCCTTCTCATACAATGCTCAGGCCTCTGCAGGCTGCCACAGTGTCTTAGGAACATGTGAGTAGGACCCGAATCAAAAGGACCAAGCCAGAGTCAAACAGGGGAGCCAAGCCCCACTCTCCTTCTAGCTTAGCACCACAGGCAGCAGATGGAAGGCAGCGGGTGAGAGATCAGAACAGCAGAAGAAAACAAAACACAGGAATCCCACTGCATCCCCTTGAGACCAGACAGAAGAGGACAGCAGAAGCTACCAATGTCTCTGATATACTGTTAAGACCCATCCTTCCCCTTTGCTAAAAGTAGAAAGTCTTGAGCCATGCCTTCAATTCTTTTCTGCACTCATCTCCATCTCCTCCCTCCCTCGAAATCCTGACTTCCTCTGAGTCCCAGTAGGTTCAACTGATGCAGATGTAAGCGATGAGGCTGCCACCTCCTCTGAGATGCTGTCCTCTAAAAGGGCCTCTCCCCCCACAGCTCTCTGCCTCCCCCCTACAGCTCTCTGCCTCATCAACTCTCCAACTCATTTCCAACCTTGGCTGAAAACATCTTTTTTCCCTGTGATGGTACCTTTTAATGTCTGTCTCCCTTGTGCACTGTGTAGCTATGTGGAGCCCTAGGGACAGATGCAGCTGGAAGGGGCATCCAACCGCATGGCAGCACATGGCCAGGCTACATGCACCAGTGAGCCCGCTTGCACACCTTGCACTCAGGGAAACAGGACTGTTTTCTCCCTCCTCGGTTTTAAAGACCTACTATCTCAAAATCTCGCTTAGGTCCAAGGCACTGAATAACGCCCAAAATATCCAAGAGACAACTGGTAAGCTGCAGAATCCAGGGCCAAGGCTGGTATGATTTCTAGGCTGCCCCTTCAGATATCAACCTCAATGAGACCCAGTTTCCAACTATGAGGGGCAAAGAGGAGGCTCTGGGAGAGCGTAATCATTTCAGGCTGATTCTCTCTTGAAGACAGGCAAGTGAAAGACGAAAGTGGGAAGGCAGGGAGGAAGAAGAGGTACCCCAAGAACACTCAGAAGTGGGTTACTACCACAAAAGGGTGAGACTCAAAGAGACCTTGTCTCCTATTACATTCAACTCAGTGGTTTGGATTTACTGACTATACATCCTCACCAAAAATGACAAAGGGGAGTACATCCCTGTTTCCCAGTCCTAGCCTTCTGGTGACAAAGCCTGGCCTTGCCCTTTCTCTCTAGCCTGCCGTCTGCTCCTAGCCCTTCTGATTCAGCTGTCAAGCACAGAACTACTTTCCACATACCCCAAAAACCAATCAGTTCCTAATGCAGCTATGAAGATTAATGACGCAGAAACTATGGGGTCTGAAAGACCCAAATAAGGCACAGAAGGCATTTCCTGAGGGGATGAAGTAAACTGACCCTGTGGAGTCAGGGAAAGTATCTGAAGACCCAGCAGGAACAGCATCATTGGGATGAGAGGAAACACAAAGTCAGGTCACCAACTAGCCAAGTCACCTGGGGAAGAGCTGGAGCCTCAGGTTCCCCTTCAGAGTTCCTAGGAAGATGCTCCACTGGCCCCTGCCTAGCTTATCCTCTCTCTGAACCACACTTGATTTCTGTCCTCATGGAAGGCACCCTGATCTGACTGTCCATGGCCATCAAGGAGACCTGGGAAAGCCAGAAGATTCCTCTGGTCACAGCTTTCATTGTAGGATACATTGTCACCTGAACACAGTAGCTACCCCTCCCCTCCATGACTCCTGCAGTGTCATGATGTTGATATGAGATTGTAAGCATAGGTGTCCTGCCAGATCTCGGTGACACTTCCTATGAATCATCAGTTCAGGAACCTGTCCCTTCTTGACAGTCGGAGGTCCTTTGTAGCTCTCATTTGCGGGGTGGGGGAATGAATAAATCCCAGCACCAATCTTTCTCCATAAAGAGAAAAGGCACAGTGGTTGCACACCAGAAGCTGGAAGTCAGGCCCTAGTGACTAGGATCTAGTCCTAACTCTGCAACTGACTAGTTATGTACCCTTGGCAAATTCCTTCACCTCTGCTCCCTATCTGAAAAGGAGGTGAGAGAGGTAAGTGTGAGCACGAGAAGAGACAATACAGTGACTTCTAAAGTGTCAAAGTGCTGGTGCGACACTGGTGAATCACAAAAACATGTTGCGCTTTGAGCCCAGCACACAAGGTATAGCCTGTATATGGTATAATCCCATTTATACAAAGGTGGAGACTTGGAGAAAACAATTTGTAGGACAGAAGTCAGAACAGTGGAGACCTGGGGTGAGCGGACTAAGATGGGCACAAGGAAACTTTCTGGAAGGATGGAAACACTGAGTGGCTGTTACATGGTGTGCACACAAGCAAACAGTTATTGAATTGTACATTTCAGGTTTGTAAATCTCAGTGCACATAAATACCTCAATAAAAATGACTTTAAGAGGGCTAGGGGTGTGGCTCAAGAGATAGTGCACTTGCCTTGCAACTGTAAGGACCTGAGTTCAAATCTCAGTATCACCAAAAAAGAAAAAAAAATTTAAGAGAAAAACAGTGCTTTACCAGATTTTTGCTAATAAGCCAGAAGGTCCACCCATGTCCACCCTCATAACCTTGGATCCTGAACCAGAGCCTCCAGAAAGTTGACCCCAGACAAGGGTCAGTGATGATGACAGCTGCATGAAGCTCTCAAGAACTCACACATGGTACCAAGGATGCCTCAATCTCCCTTATACCACACTCCTTGGGCTCAAGCCAGAGTATCCCTCCCTACCGCTCAAGAGGGTATGGGCACTCAAGTTACCCATACACAGTTGGAACAGGGACAGACACATAAAATGGCCTTACACCTCTGAAGAGACTGGCAGGGTAAGGCTGACCACCACCTTCTCCTCAGGCTCCTCGGCCTCTTCCTGCAGAGGGCCCAGCTCCTCAGCCCTTAAGTGCTGCTCCCTGCCCTTCTCGTGGGCAGCAGGTGGGCTTGGGGCCAGATCCCTTGAGAACAAATATGAAGCAGTTGTGTTAAAGTCAGTCATTTACACTGAAAACCAGACATTCCCACACTGCATGGGAAACAGGATGGTTACAGCACCCAAGAAGAACCTGTCCACACAGGAGGTGTTCAGTGGATGCTGTTGACTGAGCATTGCTGCTGCTCAGCATCCCCAGAGGCTCATTCTAATCTGATGAATCCTAGGACCAGCTAGACCTCTTGCCAGGTTGACAGAGGCACTAGCAAAAGTAACTGGGCTCTGGAAGCTCAGGAGCTCTGCACCTCCCTCTCGAGTTCCATCCCCATCTCTCAGCCCAGCACACCACCCAGGAGCCCTTCTCCCTCATCCTTACCTCTGGCAAGACACCAGTGGACTAGGTCTAACTACAGAGTCCTCCCCAGGCTCCTCTACTTCCTTGCATTCAGGCTGCCCTTCAGGAGACTGTGGAGGCCCTTCTTCATCGGCCTGGCTGTGAAGGGGACTATGGAGCTCACCGTGCAGAAGTGGAGGAGATAACCTATTTAAACCAACCAGAGCAGCAGAATCAAGCCCTCCATTTGGAGAGCAGGAAGTGGAATTAGAAAGGCAGTGTTGTGTCCCCCTAGATTCCTCCTCCTCGGCCAGACCTGCATCTGCCCCACACTGACAGGGCACAGCTGGATATGCTTAAGGGGAGACTCCCTCCTGAATGCTCCTTCTGTCTGGACCACAGTCAGACTCCCCAGCTCCCTGCACAGCATGTGCTGGATCCCGGAGTGAGAGCTGGACACACACACACACACACACACACACACACACACACACACACACACACACACACACACACACACACACACACACACCTGTCCTTTCCTAGAGTTCACTATCACTGAGGCCAAGAACTAAGTGGAAAATGGGGAGAAAGAGACACTAGGCTCAAGTGGTCAGATTACAGAAAACGCATGAGGTTGTAGCATTAAGGAAGTGAGAATGCTAAGAGCTTTCCAAGGTCCAAAAAGAGGACAGCTACTCCCCTCTCTTTCCAGGATATCAGCCATTCTCCTATGGTGGGCTCAGGCTGAGAAGCTGGAAGCCCTGGTTAAACAGACAGACACACACACCCTCTGCATCGCCATCTCTGATGCAGCAGGGCCCTGGCTCAGACCTCTGAGTCACGGTACCGACCCTCTAGCCTGTCTCCCTTGTTCATGATCAGGTCCACACAGCTTAGTCAACCCAATCCAGCGAGGAGGTGGAGTCCTGGATCACCAGTGTTATGTGCAGGCTCTCATCAAGTGACACTCCATATTCCTGTTCAGTATCACAGAACTCATTCACACACGTGCACTCACGCAGACATACCTTGTACAACAATTCGGCCAGTTCACCATCTGCCCTCAGGCAGGGCAAACTGAGCTATGCCAACCACTAAGCCAGGAATTCTGCCCAAGTACACACCATCCTGAAGACACCCCTGCCTCAGGTCCCTGAGGGCTGCCTCCCACATACTGTACCTCTCAGAGTCTTTGGACTGCAGCTCTGCTTGGCTGGACTGGCTGGCATCCTGCTCTTCTCTTCCTAACCCCTGGGCCTACAGCAAGAAGTGGTGGGAAATGTGGATTAGAAGGGTCTGCATCATCCTGCTGAGTCCCATGCTTAGCAGAAGCACTGAGAGGTGGTTTTCAAGAGGATAGGGCTCAAAGGACACCGAACAGAAGGTCTGTCCATTGTACAATGCAGCTTCCTGAGCTCTAAGCCCCAGGCTCACTGCTGGAGCAGGAGGCAGACAACCACAACCACTGCACACAAAGCCAAAAGCCAAGGACAGCAAAAGAACAAATAAGAAAAAGAAAGCCTGGTCTCCTGCTTGGAAGCCTGCAATACCAGCTGCAAAGAGAAAGCAGAACTATCCATAAACACCCCAAATCCATGAAGGCCCAGATCAGCAGCACCAGTGGTATACAGGGGTGCTCTGAAATTAAGTGGGCAGACTGAAGGCAGCAGACAAGTGCAACAGGAAGGAAGAATCCTGGAGAGCATGGGTCTTGCCTCAGACCAAAAAGACTCCACCTGACACCATGAGGAAAGAGGACATTGACATTCCTTCCACTGTTCCATTCTGAGCTTGACTAAGGACATAGGTCCCATCAATAGACAATGATGCCTCTTCCCAGCCTGGGATTATATCATCCACTCAAAAATAAACCCCCAAATCTTATTTTAAATCTTGGGTGTCTGGGCAATTTAACAAGCTGATTTAAGAAGAAGAGGAAGAAGAGGAGGAGGGGGCAGAGGAGAGGGAGAGGAGGAAGAGAAGAAAGGGGGAGGAGAGCAAGAAGAAGAAACTATTCTTGATTATTATTTCAAATACTTTCCCACAGGGGTATAGCGGTGCAGTCTGGAAGTCTACCTCCTCCAATGTACAGAAGGAAAGTAAACCACAGTTCTCAGGGATTCTGGTAAGGATTAATGAGATCGTGAACAAAGTCAACTCCTTGCCTAAAGAAGGCATACCGTAAATGTTAGCTCCTTTTCCCACATGCCTCTTGCTCTCCCCCAGCCTATGGCAAAAAAGGAAAAGGCTTTGCCAATGCTGGTCCCCATTCTAGGATCTACACTCCTTCTGTCACCCCAACAGGAGCCCCATCTGTTCAGGGACACAGGGGTCAACAGGAGAGGTGCAGCAGGAGACAGCTTACTCTGTCTTTCCCAGTGGGGTCCCCAGCCTGTGCCCACCACCCTCCACACCTCTCCACTGGCAGCCTGAGCCCCAGCAGCTGTGGCCAGCTCTGCCATCTGGATGGACAAGGAAGGCAAAGCTTGAACTAAAACCCAGCTCCCCCAAATTACATTAAAAATAGCACTGCTGCCTGTGAGCACCTCTCAAAGCCTGCAGCAGAAGGGCTCCCTGCCAGGGCTGCCAGTCCTCATCGCATCAGCCTAGGCAGAGCCTGCAGACAATGACAGGGGAGAGTGGCCCTTCTGTCCCACCTCCTTCTCCTTCCAGTGTTCAATTCACAATGTGTCTTCCTTGCAAATCACATCAAACTCATCAAATAGCTCCCTTTCTCACTTTACAAGAAAAAAAATCACACAAGCCAACTCCATTCAATGAACTAAAATATAAGACAAGTAGTAAAAATTTGGGGATTAAGTGCTGAGTTAAAAAAGGACTCTGGGATATAAGCCAAGTATCATGAGGAAAAAGGCAAGCAGATTGAAGGGCTGACTGCAGACCAAGTCTTTCTGTCTGCTCCCATCTTATTTCAGCTTCTGTAGTTTTGCAATAAACTAAACTAGCTCCCCTGCCAGAGAAAAAGAAATACCTTGGGGAAAACACCCAGACAGGAGAGTAGTTTTATTGGATCCTTGGACCTTTTGCCCCAGAAAAGGAATAAAGGAACTTGAGAAGGTAACCAGCCATATCAGCATTCTTCAGAAACGGAATACAAGAAAGCACATACTAAGCCTGTGACATAACACTGCTCAAGACACAATCATCCCATCCTTAACTCAGCTCCAAGGAGTTGTGTGATTATTGTTTGTTTATTTGTTTATAGCACTGGGGATTTAATCTAGAGCCTTGTGCTTGCTAGGCAAGCACTCTACCATTTAAGTTAAGTTCCCAACTCTTCTGTTTTGTTTTTGAGACAGGGTCTTTCAGGCTGTCCTCAAAATCTGGACACTCCTGCCTCCAGAGTAGCTGGCATTACAGGTGTTATACTAAGACCCCCAGCTCCAGGGTCTCCTGGTACAGGCAGGAGGATCACAAGTTTGAGGCCAGTCTGAGCAATTTAAAGAGACTCTGTAGCTCAGTAGTAGATCTTTTGCCTAGCATATATGAGGCCATGGGTTCAGTCACAAGTACTGAGGGAAAAAAAAAAGATCCAGTCCTCCAGTGAAATAAATCATGGTGCATTCATATAACAGAAGGCTATGTAAACAATAAAAATAATAAGGGAGATCTATATGCAATAAATCAAGTGTCTATTCTCAACTTACAGTGCACATTGCTAAGCAATTTTGGTAACATAATCCTGATTTTTGAGGGAAGAAAGAAGACACATAGAAGATGGATATTTTTATATGCTTACATATACACAGAGAAACTTCTGGAAAGGCACATGAAAAATATTAACAGAAACCATCAATTAGTCCCTGCCCCTGGAAGTAAAGCCACAAGAAGTAGAGGTCTTTGACATTCTGTATTATTTGAAATCATTCTATAACTTTTCTAATTTATTTTGAAAGCTATTATTTTTATAATTCATTGTGATCATTATCTTGACTGTGATGCTGGTTTCAAAGGAATATATATGATAAAATGTATCAAATGATGCACTTTAAAGGTACAATTTATTGTCAGTCAATTACATCAGAAGCTGCATTTTTTTTTTTTCAGTGCTAGGGATTGAACCCTGGGCCTCATGCATGCTAGGCAAGCACTCTACTACTGAAGTACATAAAATATTTTTGAAATGAACACATACTAGGATAGTTCAGTTATAAGACTCTGCCCCAGTCCTGTACTTGGGAAAAATCTGGAGAATATAGCAAAATGGGCAAGAGCCCACAGGAAGGACAAAGGGGACCATATGTATGATTCAGTCTTTCCCAAAAAGGGGCTGCTGCTCATTCTTTCAGCTCCACCTCCCTACTCAACCCCTTCAGCCTGAAGACAGGAGACAGCTAGAAGCTGAGCCCTGCGAAAGGCTCTATTTGGTCAGACAACCTGAGTGCTCAGTGTTACCCACACCCCAACAAGCTGGTCATGAGGTATGTTAGAGCATCCTCTGCCAGGAGCTGGCTGCCAGGGCTGGGGCAGGGGAGTAGAGTTCCTTAGAACCAAATGCAAGCCATGCCCTGCTCCTACTTTATGTCAAGTGACATGCCCCAAAAAGAGACTGTTGGCCTCATTAGGTCTTAGGTAGGACACAGAAATCAATCTTTTTTCAGACTCCCAAATAATTCTGATACTGCTCAGGTTTGACAGCCAAAGCAACAGAACATACCCCACCCTGACTCGGCAGCTTTCCCACTCACCTACTGCCAAAGGGGACTCACAATGCACCTACTCAAAACCCTTCCTGACCAGTTCCACCAGCCCTTGTGGGTGCTTGCTTTCACACCCATCCAGCACTACAAACAGGGTAACCAAAATCTCGTGGGGACCTGGTGGCTGGGCAGTGGCCCAGGAAAGCATCATCCAGACCTGGGAGGAACATGTGGAGCTCAAATGCAATAGGCCTAAAAGCTACCCTGTCTCCAGCACACATTTCACTAAGGGCTTCCAGGCTGGGTTCCTATTAACATCTTGTTTGTTTCACCCACCAAATTTCCATTTCACTCAACCAAATGCTCCCTGAAACTTGCAAGGATCATGTGCCAGGATCTTTCTTCTAACCAACTCACAAAGGAGAACAGAAAACTCATCTTTGTACACTACTTGGGTCAGAAGTTACCCAAGCCCATGCACAGTTTATATCCAGTGGGGAAGGCAGATGAACAACCACAAAACAAAATAAGAAGTCCCAAGGACAGCAAAGAAGGGGACCGATTCATCTTGCTTGGGAGAGATGGCACCAGAGGTAGGCTTCCAAGACCAAGAAGGAGCTTGCTGGGCAGAAGGAGAAGCAGCAGGGCTGGCAGAGAGGTAGTGGAGGTGGAGCGTGTGTTCTGGGAAAGGTGAGGGGCAGACCAAGCTGCTGACCATAAGCCAGCTAGGGACAGGCAGGGCAGGTTGGAAAGTACCTTGAAATCCACAATCTCCACAGTGCTTTGCACATGAGCAGGTGCTCAACCCTTGGTTGCTGAATGAATAAATAAGTGGATAAATACACAGGAGGAAATGTTTTAATTCATGGCAGCAACAGAACAGGAATAGTCAGAGGCCCCATCAAAGGCACAGTCAGTCCCATCCTTTAACGAATTAAAAGGGAGAGAATATGCAGAAACACACACTGGGTTGGGAAGAAGTCATGTCTGGATTACTCCAAAAAATGACTGCTAGGGAAAATGAGGCCCTCACACAGAGACTCACCTCCCAACGAGCTCCATCCAAGACTGGGGAAAGCAGATCACCATCCAGGAGGTGTTCTGAGATCCGGTTGCAAAAACCAAAGTCCTGGAGACAGTGGAGAAAGCCTCAGCACTCAATGGGACCTCTCCTCCAGCTCAACGTCAGCCTTCCAGAACGGTGTCCACTATGTTCCAGGCACTATGATAAGCTAACCATATCTAATTTAATTTTGGAAATAACACTGTGATGGGATGGAAAGATATATGATAAAGCAAATGTAGTAAAATGTTCATTGTGGATGCTAAAAGGCAAGTTCCTTTAATTTTTCCATGTTTGAAATGGTTTGCAATAAAATTATAGGCAAAAAAATAATCCTGTGAGATGGAAATTCTCATCTTCATCTCATGGACACACAGAATTCACCCAAGGTCACACAGATGATAAGCAAGAGGGTGAGGGATCAGACGGGCGCAGGGGCCCATCTTTCCATGACACATGCTGCAAAGCATGTCACTCTTCAGCTGTCTCTCCCCAACCAGTGCCCAACCAAGGCACCATAAGTGCCAACAAACCTGTGGGCGGCTTGGAAATGAGGGCTGGGGACTCCCTCCAGCTCATTCCTTCCCCCTTCTCTCTCATACAGGTGCCCTTCTGGATGACGGAGATTAATTAGCAATGCTTTCTCCACAGCTTCTCTTTGGGACAGGCATCAGGTGCCCATAGCAGGGCCAGCACCTCAACACCCTTTGACTGCCACAGAGCCACGCCCTAGCCCCTCTGAGCCTAAGATCTCTGCGGGGCTAAGTGAAGGATTGCTACCAAACAGCATGCTAATGGGAACAGTTCTGTCATCAGCCTGATAAATGGCAGGACGCCCAGACAAGGTCTGGTCCTGCTGTCCATGGCCTCCTCCCCCAACTACATAGAGAAGAAAAATGCTGATGGGAACATTTCACTACACAGTGGCTGCTTTGGAAGGCCAGACCCCTTGCTTTCAAGAGTTCAGTGACATAGCTATTCTTCATGAACAGTTCTTGCAAAAACAATGACTTTTTTCCTTCCCTTCCTAGCTTGTGGGATTTTCTTCTTTTTTGGTGACATTTTCCTTTCGATTTGACTTCTTCTCAACCTAACACACCTGCCATCTGCCTCCTAAGCCCATGGCTCAGTATGGGGCTAGAGCACACAGCCTCCTAATTCTTTCACAGCCCTCATATCATCACTGTTCATCCTGACCCTCTTCCACTAATCTCTTCCCTTTCATCTGCCTCCTCCAAACAGATGGAGGGTGACTTGTAGAAGTAATGCTCGGCCAAAAAGCACCCAAACTCCTCCCCTTAGACTCAGACCTGGAAAACAGAATTGGGACACAGAGGCTGGGTGGAAGGTCTGGGACAAAGAAACCACAGATGCTGCCCATTGAGGACAGAGCCTTAACTTTAAAAAGGAGACTATAGCCCTCCTGGCCAGAGCCTAGAGACCTGTCCTCACCACAGCCTGATGACCCCAGAAACAAAACCTTCCAGTCTCTAACCTCTTGTATTTGTGTACCATTCCTGCTAAAGCCCCGAGACACCTCACATGATCTCACAGGCAGGTCATATACCATACACAATGAGAGTAATAACAGCTAACACTTACTGTGTATATGCTTGCATTTTACACTCTCTACTTCACTTTCCTCTCACAGCAAACCTATAAAGTAGATAATGTTATCCTTAATCTGGAGTTATTGCTTAACTGGAGTTAGCAAGATCTAAGTCTGAGTCACAAATTTCCCACTTACTAGCTGTGGGACACTAGTTAATTACTTACCTCAGGGGAAAAAAAAACTCAAGTTTGACCCACCACGCTGTAGCCCCTCATCGCAAACTCACCAGGCCAAGGAAGGGCTTAGGGTCAGAAGCCTCAGAATCTGAGAGCAGTTCCTTCACATGTTCCATGATCTCTGACTCCTGGGGGGACAGATCCATAGAGAAGTTGCCCAGGGCAGAGCACAGAGGGTCAAGGTCACTATCCAGGGAATTCCCGTTAGGTCACAGCACCAACACAGGACTCAGCCCAAACCAAACTCTACCTATTCCTGAAAACTGAGACACGCATCAGCCATCACCCTGCTGAGGCTGAGTGGCCTTGCATGGACAACCACACTCTGAGCCAGATCAATAAGGGTTTAAACCAGCAAGGAGAGCGAGGCGCAGTGGTGATGGCCAGAAGTCTGATGATATCCTAAAAAAAAAAGGCCAGAAGAGTGTGTCTTTTCCACAAAGTAGATAAAACCTCTTTAAATGAATTCCCTGTCTACCTGGAGGAAGAACAGGACTAAGGGTAGGAAAATTTACAGTGCTAAAGGTTCTCCCCATCAGACCTAGGTCTATCTACTTTGGTCACTTTGGTTGCCTATTTATGCTTCCCTACATAGATGACATGACAGGCATGAACCTCTACACCCCACTGGTTGAGATGGGGGTCTCAAAAACTTTTTGCCCACGCTTGTCTCAAACCATGATTCTCCCAATCTCTACCTCCTGAGTAACTAGGATTTCAGGCTTGAGTCACCTTGCCTGGTAGGTCACTGGCCTAGTCTTATGAAAGCAATCACTTTCATGTTGTGGGTCCAGAAAGAGCCACAGAAACAGATGAGAAAAGTCTTCCTTTAACCTAATTTACCTTTGCTGGAACAGAACACTCTGGTTATAGTACCCTTTGCCTTCCCCTACATATGTATGCGCACATGCAAGCACACACCCCCCCACACACACAGACCCTCCCACACACACACACAGACCCTCCCCCCACCACCACTTCTTAGAGAACCAAGCCTGTAAGTAGAAGGGAGAGGCACAGGGGAAGAGGAAGTAAGCAGGAGAAAAGAAGAGTGGGAACACCCCAGGAGGGTACAATGGCAAACCACATTTCTGTTCTGAATTTCCAATGCCAGCAGGTTTGCATTTTCATTCAGGACTTTACTACCTGCTGGATCTGGACATAGTTGTCACAATTAAAGGTTCTGGCTGATGTTGACAGCCCAGTGCAGAGGCTGCGAATGAATCCTAACGCAGTACTAGGGACAAGCTGTGTAGGGCTGGAGAGAGCAGCAGAGGGTTATATACAGCACCTACCCAGGACACAGTGACTTACCTTGCTGGCGTCTGATCTGCTCTCTCTCAGGACAGAAGTCTCTCTCTTTGGCTCCTTTGCTGCTTCTTCGCTCCTGGAACTCTTTTCTCCTGCATCCACCAGGTCCTCTGGTGATTTCTTTTTGGGGGACTTGGTAGGCTCATCACCCCCAGGCTCCGCCCCAGGGGTTCTGGGACTTGTGGGAACCCTACGATCACTCTTCTCTTGTTCTTCTTTTCCTAGGAGCCAAGGACTTGCCTCTCCATCCTCTAGCCGAGTGCCATTGGCACTGCTCAGACTGCTGTCTGCATCTTGGTTCAAGAGTCTACCAGGAATAGGAGGCCTTACGGCATCTGGGTCAAGAGAAACATCCTTCTTCTCTGCTGGCTGGCTTGTTCTTGGAGACTCCTGGGGAGCATAGACCAGGTCAGAAAGGAAGATACAAGGATACAGAAGGAGTTTAGCAAGATGCTACAAGATGGAGCTGCCATTCCTAGACTCCCATGGGCCAGCACTCAAGTTCTGACCATCATGGTTTTCTAACACTCAAATAGCTTTTAAAAACAGTCTCCCCACCCCAGATCTACTGAATCGAAACTTCTGTGGTGATGTGGGTACACCCAACTGGGCCCCATCCACTGTGGCTTGGAAATCACTGGAACTCTATCACCATCTATAGTGCCCTCTAGTGATAAATCTGCCTCACTCCATGCTCACTAACCAAATCACACAACTGCAAACTCAGAAGACAATTTTACTTAAGATGATGATGGACAATCACATGAAAGAAAGCTAGTAAGGTCCAGAATTTCTAGTTTTCACTTTTCACAAGCAGCAGGGAAAATGAAGAGGGTACCCTTTCTCCCCAAAGCTTCCCTGTACAAGCTGACCACTGGCAACCCTAAAGACAACATCTTCCATTTGGTGGGGCCTCTGGGAAGTAGATGCCAAGACAGAATTAGATGTGCAAGTGGTTTATCAGGGGAGAAGCCTATGGTGGATAGAGGAGGCAGGAAGGACCTTCAGAACACGACACAGGTCCAGTGCCTGTGACAGAGGGCAAAAGGAGGCACAGCACAGTACGGAGAGAATCTTGGCTAGCCCAGCACAGATCACAAACTGGCTACCATCAGAGAAGGAATGTGTGAGGCAGCAGCTAGTGGCTGTCAATCTCCTAAGCTCCCCTCGACAGGGTCTCTTTTTTTTTAATATTCATATGTGCATACAATGTTTGCATCATTTCTCCCCCCTTCCCCCCGCCCCCTCCTTTACCCCACCTAACCCCTCGATACCAGGCAGAAACTATTTTGCCCTTATCTCTAGTTTTGTTGAAGACAGTACAAGCAATAATAGGAAGGACCAAGGGTTTTTGCTAGTTGAGATAAGGATAGCTATACAGGGAGTTGACTGGCATTGCTTTCCTGTACATGTGTGTTACCTTCTAAGTTAATTCTTCTCAAACTAACCTTTTCTCTAGTTCCTGGTCCCCTTCTCCTATTGACCTCAGTTGCTTTAAAGTATCTGCTTTAGTTTCTCTGCATTGAGGGCAACAAATGCTATATAGTTTTTTGGGTGTCTTACCTATCCTCACCCTCCCTTGCGTGTTCTCGCTTTATCATGTGATCAAAGTCCAATCCCCTTGTTGTGTTTGCCCTTGATCTAATGTCCACATAAGAGGGAGAACATATGATTTTTGGTCTTTTGGGCCAGGCTAACCTCACTCAGAATGATGTTCTCCAGTTCCATCCATTTACCTGTGAATGATAACATTTCATTCTTCTTCATGGCTGCATAAAATTCCATTGTGTATAAATACCACATTTTCTTAATCCATTCATCAGCAGTGGGGCATCTTAGCTGTTTCCATAACTTGACTATTGTGAATAGTGCTGCAATAAACACAGGTGTGCAGGTGCCTCTGGAGTAACCCGACAGGGTCTCTTGAAAAGGGATCTGAGCCATGCACTTCTACAGCAGTCACTCCCTGCTTCTGACACACAAATCTAAGACTAGTAAAAATCTAAGGCTGGTTCTGCTTGAGTTCTTTAGAGTTGACCAAAATAGAAACAGAAAACCCTCCCTTGGAAATACAAGCAGTGATCTCTTCTGGGCTCAGGCTGAGAAGCCTTCCTCCCAGAAAACATCTGTGCTAACACTTGGGCTGCCAGGCTGAACAGCTCCTGATCGGGATTTTCAGAACTTCTGATTTCTACCCTGAAGACTCAAGCAAGAAGCATGAGAATTAGTGCTATAGTTTGGATCTGGAATGCCCCCCAAAGGCCCATGTGTTAGATGGTTAGTGCCCAGGATGGCACTATTAGGAAGTGGCACAATCTTTAGGAAGTAGGACCTAGCAAGAGTTCTTGAAGTTATAGGGAGTGTGCCCTTGAAGGGATTGTGGGATCCCAGCCCTTCTCTCTTCATTCCCTGGCTCACAATGTAAGCAGTTTGCCCTGATGCATGTTCCTGCCACAATGTGCCACCCACCATAGGCCCAAAAGAATGAGGTCGATTGGTCATGGACCTGAACCTCCAAAACTGTAAGCCAAAATAAACTTTTTCTTTTTTTAGTAAGTTAATTTTTTCAATATAGTGATGGAAAGCTGACAATCACAACTAGAGAGTTGAAAGTTTGAAGGAAAAGCCCTAAATACAGCATTGATTGATGCTCTCTGCTATAGTATCTGTTGAGCCCAAAGACATGACCCTTGCCTGCAGAGCTGATAGGCTACTCACAAGCTAAGCCAATCTCTTCAAATACAGTGAAAGGAGGCAGTAATGTGGAGTGGTTCAGAGCTGAGCTTTGAAGTCTGACTGCCTCAGCTCAAATCATGGCTCCATGCTTGTAGATGTGTGGAGGCAGAAAAGGCCCTTAACCTTAAATAACCATAGACAGATTATTTCACTTCTCTGTGCCTCAGTTTCTTCCTCTTCAATACAAAGATCCAGTAAGTAGTGGCTACCTCACAGGGCTGCTGGAAAGATTAAAAAAGCTAGCACTCATTGAGTGAGTAAGGAACTTGGAACTGAGTCTGCACACTGTCAGTGTCCTGAATGTTCTGTGATGAGACCCCTACATTCATCCACTGAACACCACCTACATGCCAAACACTGACTTGGGAACCTGAGTATGACCAAACACATCTTGCCTTCAGGGAATTGAACTAATTACTGAGAAAAGCGAAATGTCCCAGTTAGGTCTGGTTATAAGCCTTGACTGCCCAAAGCCAAGCAGCACTAGATGCAGGGTGGCATTGTCACCAGCCCCAAGCCTGACCCTGGACAAAAGGCAGAAGGTAAGTGGAGAAGACAGTAACTGCCCAGTGCTGCCCTCCTCACATCCTAGGCTTGCATGAAATAAATCTGCTGCCATCCCTGAGCTGGTGAGGGAGGATGAGCATCTCTCCAGCAGATGAGTAGTTCAGGCTAAGGCTGGGCCTCATGCCCATATCCCCAGCAGCACTCAGCAGGAGCGCCACACATGGTCTGTGGGCTCTGTGGACTCCAAGGAAGAGGTAACAGGTTCTTGGGGGGCAAGGGGTGTCTGGCCAGCCACAAGCCTCACTCAGCAAGGGGGGCCAATCCACCCTGGTCAGTTGCATCTCAAGATTAAAGAAGGCTCTCCTGCTTAAAGCTGGGAGTGAAATCTGGCACCAAGAGCACTGCCTAGCAACAGATTTGGATAAGGGGACAGAAGAGGTATGAGATCCCAGACAGCCTCTAGCAGGAAGTTCCCACCTCCTCACTTGACCTCCAGCCTTTCCTGTCTGCTTCTTTCGCTCATCTCCAACCACACCCTACATGTGTCCTTTTCTCCTGCCTGGGGCCGAATGTCAGGCTGTTTCTCTACTTTACCATGCACATTCTATTTATTCATTTTTTTAAAGTTATTTATTTATCTATTTGGTACAGGGCTTTGCAAAAGCTAAGCATGTACTATACCACTCAGCCACACCCCCACCCTAAAAATAAACCCTCCCTCCCCTCTCCTGACAAACTGTCACAGGTCCCCACAGCATTAACACCTCTTCCAGAAAGCCCTCCTTGGTTGCTAGGGCAGTGGGTCTGTGATAAGCTTTCCCCATCCTCTGTAGCTATTATAAATGTTGGCTTCCTTGTCTGTTCCCCTCACCAGATTAACTCCCTACTGTGCTCGGGACCTAGTGGCTGGCACAGAACAGATGCTCAGTAAAGTCACATTGATTGAATTTTTTAAAAATGAAAGAGTGTGTAGTACAGATGTTGGACTTGAGGCTTCCCTTCCTTCTCTGCCAAGTGGAGACATAATATTTATTTGTCAAGGTCATACAGGTATTAGACTATTAGCACCTTATTATGAGAAGAAAAATAGCTAAACAAATGTCAACTCTAAAATAACTCTTCAAAATGATGAAAAAAACAAGTGGCCCATCAAAACTCAGAGGACATCAGTGGCTGAGGGTGGCTCAGTGGTACAGCATTTGCCTAGCATACCCAAGACCCTTGGTTGGTTCCAGCCCAGCACTGCAAAAGTGGGGGAAACAAATCAGAGGATACCAAATACAGGTAGTTTCTCATTCTTAAGCCTGAGAGAATACAGCAGACTATAAGAATCTTTAGCCCAGTCCGTCCAACTCTCAAGCTTAAATTCTTCGAAAGATTTTTCAGCTTGGGGTATAGCTCACTGGTAGAGTGTGTATGTAGCACATGTGAGGCCCTGGGTTTCATCCCCAGCAATCCCTCAAAAAGGAAGATCTGTCACACAATGGGGTTTGATTTTAGTCTGTCTGCCTAAATATGGAACTGTTAAAATATGGCTGATGCTAGAATAAATGACTTTGTACTCTCTGCACCCATGTCGGCTCACTGCAATGGCAAGACAACCAGAGGTGGGGAAAGCAGAGGGAGTCTAAATCTGGCTGCAGAGTAGCCACAGATGGATGCAGAAGACTAAGGGCCTCATCTGACTCCATGCTCATCTCTGTTCACCCAGCCCCTGACCAGCACACTCTAAGTTCTAAGCACAGTGTCCTGCCCCGGGCTCTGTGGGTACACAGCACCATCTTGGGCCCATCCATGCTCCCACTCCTCACTTGTCTCCTACCCAGTCCAGGATCCTCGAGTATCACATGGCACATTTCAAGACTTTGCCATCTGCTTGAGGAAGAGATGAGGAGTGCCTATAAAAACCATTTCATGAATATTTAACACTTCTCAAAGCCATGAGCTCTCCAGGGCTGCAGTCCCCACTCCCTGCTCAGGGCACAAAGGCAGGGCTCCATTGATCCACACAATGCAGAAGAGGTGTCATGAGGAACAGTGGAGTCCAACACCACGTCTGTGCATTGACCTCGTTCTGGGAAGGCCCCTACCAGGCCAACCATCAATCCATTACACTTCCCAGGTCTCATGCCCATCCAGTTAGTTGGTTTCGAGACTTTGCTCAGCTCCCCAGTACAGTTAGCGCTTTCCAATCCCACTGACATCATCCTGTTATTTCTAAGCCCAGGCTCCCTCCCCCTCCTTTGATCAGCTGATGGGCTTTTCATCAGTACCACACAGCCACATACTGCCTGCTCACCCACCCTGCTGCTTCCCCTACTCTTGCTCAGATGCATTCTCAGTGCCAGTTCCATGAACCTTTCCCTTTTTGTCTGCAATACACTAGAAATGGGTTTAAGTTGGAAGGCACAAGAGGAAGGAAAAGGAAACTCAGACAGCACCACATTTTTGCCATCCTACTGCCCTCTCATGGAATCCTGAGCAAAGTGACTGCTCAGAGAGGCAGTGGAGAACTGGCCCAGGAAGGAAAGCTCCATCAAGGGCTGCCTGGGATGCCCACGGGGTGAAAAAGGTGTGTGGTTCAAAGGATCCAAGGACTGTAAGCTGGGACAAAAGTCATTTCAAAGGATAGAGTGGCTCACACCTGTAATCCTAGCTACTCAGTAGGATCAAGGTTCAAGGCTAGCCTGGGCAAACAGTTCATTAGACCCTATCTTGAAAATACCCAACACAACCCCCTCTGCCTAAAGCCTGGCACCCTCCAATCCCTGCCTAGCATTGGGCTAGGGGCACAGGGGGCTGGTTACCACGGAGTGGTCCCTAGCCCTGCAGAGGGGACAACGGCTTGTGCCTTCCAGGGGACGGCAGAACATTCTGAACAGAAGCAGTTGCCAAGTGCCTGGCAGGGCACATGGTGAGGGCAGCACAAAGGCTGAGCTGCTGGGGCCCGCTGGGTTGTTTGCATCTAAGGGAACAAAGGTTTGTCCTATTAAAAACAAACAAAAAAAAGAAAGAAAGAAAATACCCAACACAAAAAGGGACTGGTGTAGTGACTCAAGTGGTAGAGTGCCTGCCTAGCAAGGGTGAGGCCCTGAGTTCAAGCCCAGTGCCATTCAAAAAACAAAAGGACAGGACCCAAATGGAGGCAGCTTTGTCTGTCCAAAAACCTCATTCATCCCCAATGCTAACTTCCCCAAATGGAAAAAACCTTAATCCCCTGCCTACCTCCCTCCACAAGAATCCAATACCCCACATAGTAAAGAGAATTGAATCTAATGGGTGTTAGAGACCAAGGTGAGAGGCATACTGCATACTACCCAGTTCAGACATTCCCCCTCACAATGCGGTAACAAAGAGGTTATAAAAATGTGTAAAGGTTCCTACTCCCCCAAAAAGCACATAGCGTCAGAGGGAAATCTTTAGAAGTCCAAGATGTGTCAAAGAAAAAAACACCTTTTTTGTTGACTTTTGTAATCCATTATGAAGTAAAAGCTAAGTAGCCCAAGGTCACAGTAAATCATGACCAATCTACACTGGCATCTTCAATCCATCAGATGACAGCAAGGACCAGGTATCTACTCAACCCAGAAGCTGAGAAAGCCAAGGGAAGGAAAAAAAAGCACAGAACTGCCTGGATACTGCCCAACCCATCCCCACATGGCTCATTCATTCACATTATTGAACAAAACATACCAAAGAATGTCCTATGTTCTATGCAGTAGGTTGTGTGCCCAACACACAGACATGAATGGGGCAGAATCTCCACTTTCAATTTTCTCAGTCTCTAGAAAACAAATTATCTTTTCTCCAAAAGCAAGAAAGTCTTCCTGACACCCTTACTCCTATTCATAGTCCTCTTCCCAGTGCAAAACTGAACATCTCCTTACATTACATCCATTGATCTACACTGACTAGTAGTGGGTGAGAAGAACACAAAGTCACCATGTCAGGGAACCAATCGGACAGAATTCTTTACCCCAACCAGACCCTAGTCAGAAGGAACAATTTCAAACTAAGTATGTATCAGGTTGACAGTACAAACGGAACACTCAGAAGAGTCACGTTAGGTGGAAAGTACTAAAGTCACAACCCAGGCATGACTTCACACCTATAATCCTAGCTACTCAGAAGGCAAAAATCAGGAGGATCATGGTTTGAAGCCAGCCTGGGCAAACACTGAGACTCCATCTTAACCAACAAAGAGTTGGTCATGGTGACATGCTCCTGCCATCCAGCTACATGAGAAGCACAAATTGGAGGATCACAGTGCAGGCTAGCCTAGACATAAGAGGAAGACTCTATTAGAAAAATAACTAAAGTAAAAAGGGCTGGTGGTGTGGCTCAAGTTGTAGAGGACCTGCCTAGCAAGCATAAGGCCCTGAGTTCAAATCCCAGAACTTCCAAAAAAGAGAAAGTATTGAAGTCATGATCAAAATATCTAACAACACAGAGCCAAAAAACTGAACAGATATTGAGATAACAGGCAAAACCTAACTATGAAAATGTGTGGGTCACTTTGGAAGGTGTAGCCATAATGTGGGTCTCAGGTACCAACTAAGGACCTGTCATCCAACATCTGAAGCTTCACCTGGCCTGAGATAGTGTTCTGGCTCACAAGGTGAGGTAAAGACTAAGAAATACAAGTCAGAAATAACTGGGGTGATAGAGAAACAAATTTCAATCCACATGGGAGCACATCTGTTTTATTGGCCAATTTTGCAATCACTCTACAATAAAGTGTAATTGACTTTTTAATTTTTCAGGTGTTTAAGGTATTTAAAAGAACATAATATACTAAATTTGTAAAACATTTGATTGAGCCTATAGCTAATATTTAAATGCTTGGGCAAATCTAATTCACTGATTTCATGACTCATTGGTTATAAAAATATTTTAGAGAAATGTTAATTGGTAAAAATATTAACAGTAATAAATAGGGGCTAGAGGTATGGCTCGAGTGGTAGAGGGCTTTGCCTAGCAAGCAAAATGCCCAGAGTTCAAACTCCAGTACCACAAAAAAATTAATAAATCACATACCAGACATTATAGTGGGGAATGTTCCTTTTCAAGTACAAAAACACACTGGAGGTTTTGGTTATTACAACAAGACAAGTTTTGCTGTTTGTTGTTCTGTGTAAAGAACATTCTGGTAGCAGCAGAAAACAGACAAGAGAGAAAAGGATTACACTTGGGAGGAGCTTCCAAAAGCCATTCCCATATTCTGAACCTTTACTTAAGCTATTCATTTGCTTAGAAAATTCCCTTACGTTTTCCATGTCTAAACTTTAGCTACCCTTCAAGACGCAGGTCAAATGTCATCTTTTCCGTCAAGTTTCCCTATGTCTAGGCAAGAAATTCCTTCCCACTATAGTCTACGAGACTGTAGAATCTGAGTGAGCAGGAAGCGTATCTCACTCATGCTCACATAACCTATAGCACTAGCAAAACACCTCATGGAAACTTACAATAAATGGTTATTTGATATAGGAGTAAATGAATAAACTCCCTGACCTAACCCCAGATATCCTGAACAGGACTGGGAAAAAATAGCTCTCCAATATGCCTCCCTCAAATAGAAAAGCTTCAGAAGGAAGGAGGGACATGCCGGCTGAGGCATTTGCCAGCAGAAGCATAAGACTCTTACCTCATACTCAAAGTTACCACCCAGGGCCCCGAGGTCCAGGTGCAGGTTCTTAAGAAGCTCACCGGAGCTGGGGACACTCTGGAAACAAATGATTACAAGTGGTAAGTCCAAGGGAACGTGGGCATGCAGGACAGAAGTGGGTACTGATGAGCCAGCAGGCAGTGCCCTGGCAGGGCCTCAGAGAACTCCAGAACAGGATCTCCATTAAAGGGCCAAGCAGCCCTTTATCCAATGTGCCCAGGCTTTGTGCCAAGCAAGTGGTCAAGCAGACACTTGCTGGTTGTGCTTTCTGGATCAGACCTAGAAGGTATATAGACTGGTCAAAAAAGGAAGCTGTGGGCTGGAAAATTATTTTTACTTATTTTTAAAATAGCAAAAAGGTTAACCAAAGGTGGAACCAACCCATGTATTTATTCATCGATAGATGAGTGGATAAACAAATGTAATATGTATGTTGAAATATTATTCAGCCATCAAAAGGAATAAAGTTTTAATACATACAACATGAACCTTGAAAATATGCTCAGTGAAAAATCCCAGACACAAAAGAAAAACTACTGTATGATTCCACTCATATAAAATCTCTAGAACAGGCTAATTCACAGACTATATTGGAGGTTATCAGAGGCTGGAAGGAGTGGGGAATGGGAAGTTATTGTTAACGGTACAGAGTTTCCTTTTAGGATTACACATGCACTCTGGAAATGGATAGTAGTGATGGCCACAGAACATTAGGAAGGTATTTAACAGCCAGGCACCAGTGGCTCATGTCTGCAATCCTAGCTACTCAGGAGGCAGAGATCAGGAGGATTGCGGTTCAAAGCCAGCCTGGGCAAATAGTTCCATGAGACCCTACCTTGAAAATGCCCAAAACAAAAAAGGGCTGGTAGAGTGGCTCATGGTGTAGATCCTGAGTTTAAGCCCCAGTACCACAAAAAAAAAAAAAACTTATTTAATACCTCCAAACTGTACAATTAGAAATGGTTAAAATGGCAAATCTATTAAAAAATACATTTTTAATAGCACTGAAGGCTTACATGCCCTTCAACATTACCTGGTTGTCACTCTCCTCTTCATCCTCCTTGTTGGCCTCCTCCCCTAAAGCTGAGAGGCTGAGAGCATTCTTGTCCTGATGGATGGAGCCCAAGAGACCCTTTGTACAAGCAGAAGTCTTGAGACCCTGTGGAGGCTCCAAAATAGAGAAGGAAAATCAGGGGCCTCACCAGGAAGACCTTCCAAATGACCCGGGAGTGTCTTCCCACTTCCTATTAGATGGCTCCCGGACCACATCCCACCCTGTCCATGAAGCCAACCTGGTGACTGCAGCTCACACCACTGACTCCCTTCTCTAACTCCTACTGCCCTGGCTATGTGGTGGGGAAATGAGCAATATACCCTACAGCACGGCCCATCCTCTACTGCCCAGAGTCTACGTCCAGCGTCTTACACTCTTCTCCTTTACAAGACAGTGAACTTTGAGTACCGACCCTAGAGTGCATAGCACACAGGAAGCCCCGTAGCAACTGAGCACACTGCATACTAGACGAAGTACTCACCAACGTGAGTTCTCCAAGCTGCCCAGACTCGGCTGAGCTCCCCAGGCTCATGCTTTGAGATCCACGAAGAGCAGAGGGGGCATCGCCAAGACCTCGTAAAGGCCCCAGGCCCCAAAGAGGAACGTGGACTGGGGCTAAGGAGAAACCTGCCGCCTAGACAACAGAAAACATTTTGTTACAAACCCAGAAATCACATGGCTCTGAGAGTGTTGGAGACAGATATAAAAATAAAACATCTAAATCCTGCCGGCTCAAATTTAAACCGCCTCCACTTGGAGGCTGCTAATGAAACACAACATCCAGAAATTACCATTGTGCCAACTGTGTGAGAATCCCAGGCTGGTTCCCTGATTCTTATAACTCGAATGCCACCTCCCACAAACAGTTCTCTTACATCTGGCAGATGCTATGCGGGTTCTGTTTGCCTTTCAGAAGCCACATAGAAGTGTGCAGGAAGGGAAGGCAGAGACAAAACCCTCAGCTACCAGAAGGAGAAGTCTCAATAGATAAAGTTTAAAACTGATGAGTCAAGAAAAAGCAGTCTCAGCATATTACTGACAAAGATGGAAGTAAATGCCAATAGAAAGGGAAGGCCTTTGGGAAAGGATCTGCTCTACTTTGTTACATGTTTTTAAATATTCTTGTAACTCATTTTTTTTAAACTGTGGGCATGTATGACTTTAATCAAAATAAATGTAATTATGAAAAAAATATACATAAGCAACAAAAGAACTCTTTCCTTCTCCACTGATGAGAAACAGGCTGGAAAAAACAGCAATATACTGACCAGGTCCTTTCTTTTCCTGTTTTCTGAGGGTCAAATGAAGGCTTTGTGCCAGCAAGGGAAAGAAACTAGGCAGAGGTCAGAATGTGTGAGAGCTTGTACTACTCACAGACGCTTGGATTCCCAGTTCACTCATCTGCAAGATGAAGATGGTACCTGCTGTGCCCGAGACTTGCCAAGCTGCTAGAGTGAGATGATGAACGCAAGGGACATTTATGAGTGACTCAGAGCCATGTCAACATTATGGAATTGCTACTGCTACAGGGATTCATCTGAGCTTCACAGAAGCAGAGGCCAGGATAGCGTTCTGGAGGCAGTTTACAAAGAGCTCTTCCTGAACAGAAAGAAGAGTCCCCTTTCTTCTGTTCCTGTACAATTAGAGAGGAACAGAACTTTTGCTTCATTTTATATATTTTAAATTTGAAAAAAGACTAGCCATCTTCTCGGCCACAGCCTAGCCCAGGGGCCAGGCCACCAGGTGGGTTCAGCAGGGCTTGTTTCTGCACAGGGAGGGTGTCAAAGTCTCCGTAGTAAAGTGAGGTAAGAACCACTGCTAAGCCTCTGCAGATCCCCGGTGATCTGGCCTGTTGCAGAATATTGTTGTTAGGGAGAAAAGGAGCCGATACCTCAAAATTGCGAAAGGCTTGAGCACCAGGCACTGGCCAAATATTTTACTTTCACAGTAACCTAAGGTGGGCTCTGCCACTATCTAGAGTCCGCACTTGAGCAAACAGGTGGGTGAGATTGAGAACCCTGTCCAAAGTCAGTCATGGGGCCAGAGAAGGGCAGAGATAGAACTGAACCCAGAGTTATTAAGACAGTGCTTCATACCGTCTTCTGACTATGGCAGAAAAAAAGCCCAGGAAAGCTTCTCTGAGTTACCGTGAGTAAACTGGGCCTGCTCTTCCTGCCTTTCCAACCAGCACCAGCACATCAGCAAGCAAAATTCTTCCCACACTGTATTTATAGAAAATTATAGACTCCTAACATGGCTAATTTGCTAACGTACTGGGGGCCTGAAGGAGGGAGACAGGCATGCTGAGAGCTTTGTTCTCCTAGGCCTTTACTAAATCAGTGGTTAGCAGGGAAATTATACATTCCTGGCTCCTAGCTGATCATCTTCTATAGATGGCCATTAACTCTGAGCATGGAGCTGTGCATGGCCGTTGTCCTTCAGAGCAGATAAACTTGCTGCCATTGGGCTAATTAAAACTTTCAGGATAATCTGCAGCTTATCCGATATTTATAGTGCTACAGTAGTTATTAAAGCTAACGGAGAACCAGTGCGTGTCGGCAATTAGGAGCCAGAGGGAACAACTGGGTAAAGCCACAGCTGGGCCATAGCAAACTAGCCAGGAAAACTCACACTGATCGCCATGGACTCTGATCCAACTTGAGTCCTTTTGAATGAAGAATGTGACTCTCTAAAGAGACAGAGTCAGAATGACAAGACAAGTCCGCCCTTTGGTATAAGTCCCAGTGGGGAGGAAGTGAAGTCACAACTAGGCTCTGCATGCCACATGATTTTCTGGGGACCCTGGGAGACAAGCAGCAGAAGCAGCTGACTGAGTGGCAGGGGAGATTGTGGACTTCAGTCCTTTGTAAGGAGAGTAACTCTCTAGTTCTATGTGCCTCCAAGAAGAGATAAGTTCAGAGCTTTGGGATAGGTGCTTTGGAGAATGACCCCTCTCTAGAATCAGCCCACAGGGGCTATGTCCTCCTAAGGGCCATCTTGACCACCCTCAGAACCAGTCACCTTCAAAGCATGTGAACCGTCCATGAATTACAGTCAGATGCAGGGAAGGGGAGTCATAGATGCCCTCGGCTCTACCTTGTGGATGATGGAATAGAACAAATCTGAACTACATGCCACCCTGTACTGTGGCCACTTAGGTGGTTAAGCAATCAACAGTTACCAAGGGAGGGAGAAAAACAGGAAAGCAGACCCGATGGATACAGTAGACAGCAGCTCCAACTGCTCCCTCCCTGCTCAGGTCACAGAGGCCTAAGGCCCTAGGCCACACTCGCTAAGCAGCCTACCTGATTGAGAAGCTGCATCCTGCTTGGCTCTGCAGCAAGCCCAGTGTTGGAACTCGGCTCCACCAGTCCCTGCCTGAGGGGGCTGCCGCCTGGTTGGCAATGTGCTTGCTGAGAGACCTCTTGCCCAGCAGGAGCCTGGGCCACCTCCTGAGGATGTTCCAAAAGCTCTGGCCCCCAGGTCAGAAACCTTGAGTCCCTCTCCATGGCTCTGATGGCCTCATTCTCACCCTCACTAGACATCCTGGAAGACTCAGCGGCCATGCAACAGACCACGCTGGTGATGTCTTTACACGGCACTTCCTGCATGCTGTCAGGCAGCCCCAGGCCCTCCAGCCGCCTGGAGATCTTGACCATCTGCAAGATGTGCTGGTAGAATCTCTGGTCCTCAGAGTAGTCTTCACTCTCTGACTGTTCCTCAGCAGAGGTCTGCATGTGAGACAACTGGGGCACCAGGAAGGGGCAGGAATGCTCATCTTTAGGCCCCGGGCCTGACTGGGCCATGCCCGCCACAGATTCCCAGGAGCTCTGCAGGTCCCAAGGGAAGTTGTTCACCTCGCCCAGAATATGTGAACCGAGAGGTGAGGCTAGACTGCCACCTCCACTGCCACTGCTGCTCTCTAAATCAGCCCCAGACACACTAGGCTTCCTATCTTCACTGGGAGGCTCTGGAGATGCTGGGGGGTAACTCTTCTCACTGGCAGAAACCCTCCCAGGGGCATTCTGATCTGGTTCTGATGCCAGGGTACTGTGTGGTATTAGTAAAAGTCCCTGGGATAGATCTTTGACTGAGGCCCCTGGAACTGCAGGGGCACCAGGCTTTGATTCCTCGAAGCCCTCTGGGGTGTCCTTATTAACAAGTTTGGACACTTGTCCCATCCACAGTCCTGCAGGCTCTCTTCTCCACCTCCCCCTGCCCATGCCCCCACCTTCCCCAGGAACTCTCTGCCAGCTCAGGTCTTCAGCTGGACTGCTATCTAGTAAGAATGACTTGTTTTTCCTGGTAGGCAGCATGTGGTCAGAGGAGCAAGGGGATGGAGAGGGCTCTTCCTCAGGGATGGCAATGGGATGGGGCTCTGACCCTTGTCCCCTCCAGGGCCAGCGGAGCTCAGTGTGGCTATGCTGTGGCTCTGCTGCTCCCCTTTTGGCTGCGGGCCCTTGATGTTTCCAGAAAGCTTAGAGTAGACAGGGGTCTGGTTCTTGCATCCTAACGTGTCTAGACCAATCTGGAGAGGCCCAGTGTTCTGAGGGCCCAGGGTACCAGGTTTCTGCTGTCTGGTCCTCATTTCCAGCTCTTCTATTTCAGGGTCTGAAAACCCCAGGTAGATTTTCTCTGTTGCCTTCTGAGGTGTTTCTAGATCCTGCTGATCATCTAATTCTGTCTTGCATTGGGCTGGAGCCCTACCTAAGATTTTCTCCACATCAGCAAAGATCTGGTAGGTTCGAGAAGGTTGGCCTTTGGAGAGTGGCTGCAGCTTGCCAGGGAGGGCATCCATGAGAGGCCACGGGGTATCACCCAGCATGCATGGGCTCTTCCCTTTTTTAAAGGAACCCTCACTTCTAGCCTGCATCTCTTGGTCTAAGTCCAGATCAGCAAGCCCAAGTGCTGGGAGAGGGGACAGGCCACGGAGAAAGGAGGAAAAAGGCAGAAGTCCCTGCTCAGGCTGTATTTCCTAGATGGGTATACAAACATGCAGAGAAAACTAAGAGATAGCATTTTTTATTTATACTTGCTACCGCAGCCCTGATAACCCCTGAGCAGAAACCCACCCTCCATTGAAAGTAAAGCAGAAATCAAAGCAAGAAGAGTTAAAACCTCCCTTGAGCTGAAAATGTTGTTTTCCAGGCTCCAATTTCCATCTAGAAGAGGAAGCTTGACTACATCAAAAGCCCACAACCTTGGTCCATGGAACCTGGAGGACTCAGTACATAGGAAACTGCCATAATGCGCATGTGACAGAAAAGAGGAATCACTAGGATCCACGTCCCCAGGTAACCCAGTCACTCCATTTCTTTTTGTATAAGCTAGACCTCTGCAGAGGTACTGATATGAAGACAGTTCTTTACTACTAACAAAAGTCTAAAAATTATCAGCTAGGTTATCCCTAAGGTACCATGTAGCCCTTGGGATCTTTGATTGATTAATTTTATAAAATCTGTCAAGCTTATCAAGGACTTTCAGAAATTTCCTAAGAGGAAGAGAAGAAGGAAAGCATAACCAGTGGCCTGAGCCTTAAAAATTTAGTCTAGGGCTCACAAGGCTTAAGTGGCAAGAGCACCGCCTAGCAAGGGAGAAGCCCTGAGTTCAAACACAATTCCACAATCAATCAATCAATCAACAAATAAATAAATGGTCTAGTGCCTTCTACCAAAGGTGCAAATTGATACTACTTAAGAGACGCCCAGTCTTAAATCTTGGGGCAAAAAGAAATCCTAAAGAATTCAACCACCCCTTGCAAACAGTTACACTAAACACCACCAAGCTGGAAGCACACATTTCTGGAGGCCCCAAACCACCTAAGCCCAGGTAGCTCACCTACTTCATGTCTGTTCCCTGGACAAACTCAAGTTTGAGACGCCTGATCTGAGCCCTAAGAACCAGCCTGTGGCCCAATGCTATCTAACTGTCCTCATTTCCTGAAACCACAGAAGGAACCATTTCTAACAAGGAGCATCAGGAACTCAGACATGTACCCAGAACTGAGTCTGCCCCCCACCCCAGGCCAGAACCTTCATTTCATCCCCTTTCCCACCTTCAGTCATGCCAGAGCCCGCCAGATACCTGAATATCTGTTCAAATAATCCTGGGCTAGTAAAATGCCCTTGGGCCACCTGCTGCTTTTCAAACATACAGCATTAGAAAATTCAGCCTATCAGGAAATCACCTCTCCTCTTTTCTCTGTCTAGAAGAACGAACTTGTTCTCTTATTTCTTGGAACCATGAGTAATATATCAGGGAGCAGAGGGATAAATGAATGACTGTTCACAGCAGCAGCTGACACTTCAGGGAAGAAGGCAGGCTAAGCAAGTGGCCCGATGGCAGAGTGCTTGCCTAGCATGCATAAGGCCCTAAGTTTGATCCCCAGCACCACAAAGAGAAGCAAACACCAGGCTCTGATGGGAAATAAAGACAAAAGAACAAACAATTGGACCACTGAGAGGACTGAAAAATTACTCCCTGGGTTGGAAGCATGGCTCAGGTGGTATAGCACCTGCCTAGTAAGTTCAAGGGCCTGAGTTCAAACCCTAGTACCACCAAAAACAAGTGAAAATATACTCCTAGTGCTCCCCACCTGGCTGAACTGAGTTCTGGGTTCTTTCATGCTTTCTTCCCTCAAAGTGCCTGAGATCTGGTCCCTGCACACCAGCACTTGGGAAGAGCCTGAGCCTGGGCCTCACTTCAATATAGTTCCAACTAAATTAAGGGCAATCACTTCTGCCTCCTAAGTTCACACATGCTGAAAAGACAAACAATCACAAGTAAGGGCACTTCGAACTGGGCACAAAAGCTACTCTAGACCACAGTGGTCACAATGCAATTAAGTGTCAGTTACTGCCACTAACCACGGACACTGGCAACAAGGACGAGCCACGGAGCAGACGAAGCCCAGGGCTTTTTTTTGAATCCTGAAGGCACCAGTGTTCTGACAACTAGATTTACACCACCTTAAGACAAATACTGAGCCCACACCAGGACAGCCGGACTCAGTGAAGAGAAAGCACACTCGCTCGCCATCTAGGCTCACTGGCCTCATTAACTGCTCCCTGTCCCGTGCTCCAGAGTGGCAGATGCCATCAATTCTTAGACTACTGCAAAACACCATCCTGGGTAGAATGCACCCTCACTAATCCTGTTAGGTAACACATGCTTCCCAAGGAGAGAAAAGGAATTTATTTAGAGAAGGTTAAAACTATTAGAAGCTGAAAGAAAAATATGCCATAAGATAGGCAAAATTTAGTTGATGTGCCAGGTGCCAGAGGCGCATACTTGTAATCCTAGCTACTTGGGAGGCTAAGAGCAGGGGACCAGCCCTGGGTAAAAAAAGATTCTGCAAGACCCCATCTCAACAGAAAAAACCTGGGCGTGGTAGCACACACCAGTCTCCCAGTGACACTGAGAAGTATAAAATAGAAGGATCTCAGTCCAAGCTGGAATGGGCAAAAGATGAAACCTATATCCAAAATAACCAGAGCAGAAATGGCTGGAGGCATGGTGAAGCAGTGGAGCACCTGCCTCACAAGCACAAAGTCCTGAGTTCAAACTCCAGTACTGCAACCCAATTTATTAGTGAGATTTTGTTTTTTGGCTTTTGTTTTTGTTTGAGACAGGGTCTCAAACTCCTGTCTCAGCCTCCCAAGTGATTAGATTACAGGTGTGAGCCACTATGACCGGCTTTTATTCTTGTTTTTTACCTCCTGGCTGTAAACACCTAGAGGATCCCAATACCTCTTCCCTCTCCCCTCTCAGGTTTTGACCCTGGCCTCTCTAGAAGCTGGCATCCACTGACTCACCAGGGGACTTTTAGAGGTCTCTTTGTCCTTCTTGTTTTTCTTTTCCTTTTTCTTTTTCTTATCTTTCTTCTTAACAGCCCCAGGAATTGACAGCTTCTCCCGTTCTTGGATCACCAAGTTCCGATAGTGTTCATCACACGGATGGTCCCACGTGGACTGCCCATTGGCAAAGTTGAAATAGTAAATATCACCCGTGATATCCTGGCTGGGGATAAGCAGAGTTCACAACTGAGTTCCTGCTCAGGTCCAAAACTACTTGGGACAAAAAAAACAGAAAAAGAAGAAAAGCAAAGAGGTGGAAAGGGGGAGGAGGAGAAAATGGAAGGAGGGGGACAGATGAACACAACACTGAAACATTGAAGGGTACCATTTCGCTAAGAATAAGGAGTTAACTTACACATGGAACAATGGATTGAGATACTTACAGTTTTCTAAACAGAGATGTATACTCATTAGAGTTCCTGAAAACTCATGCTAGACTACAGTAAGAATGAACTTGGTTTTATTTAGATGAACAAGTATAAACACCATGGTGCCTTGGATATAAACGCTAGTGTAGACTTGCTTGACATTTTAACAGTCTGAAAAAAAATGCATTGTAAAAGCTCTGGTTTTGCAGAAGATTCTAAACTGGGATGCTGGGAAAAGAAAACAATGTAGAAGAACCTGAGTTTCAATATAGACAAGTCCAAAGTATGCCATTCATCCCAACCACCATTAACATTAATCCACTAAAGAACTAACAAGAAAAATAATCCCACTAACAATAACAATATTAAAGATAAAATACATGGGAATAAATCCAGAATATATAAAATCTTTAGAAAGTGCCACTAAAACAGAGAAAGAAAAAAAAACTGGCCAGGCATAATGGCTCATGTCTATAACCCTAGCTACTCAGCCAGAGACCAGGAGGATCACAGTTCAAAGCCAGCCCAGGCAAAAAAGTTCACAAGACCCCATCTCAACCAATAAAAAGCCGGATGTAGTGGTGCACACCTGTCATTCCAGCTAGGTAGGAAGCATGAATAGGAAAATTGAGGTCAAGGCCAGGCATAAACACAAACCCTATTCAAAAAATAACTAATGCAGAATGGGCTGGGGCATGGCTCAAGTGGTAGACCACCTGCCTGGCAAGCACAAGACCCTGAGTTCAAATCCCACACTAGGGGAAAAAAAAAAGAAAAAGGGCTGGCAGGGTGGCTCAAGTGGTTGAGTGCCTGCCTAGCAAGCACAAAGCCCTGAATTCAAACCCCCGTACTACCAAAAAAAAAAAAAAAGAAAATTGAAAAGGTGTTCTATGCTCCTAAATTGAAAGACTCAAATCTGTGAAGATGCCAATTATCCTCAAATTAATGCATCAATTCAATCCCATCCTGATCAGGCTTCTTATGAATGTGACAAGCTGAATCTTAGCTCAAATAAAAAGGGGAAATTAGCAAAAATAGAAAAGGAAAATACCAAAGGTATTGTGGTTTGGCTGTTGTCTGTCCCCCACATGTACTGAACTTTGGTCCCCAGGGTGGTAATGTTGAGAGGCGGTGGAACCGTGAAGAGATGGTCCTAGTGGAAGGTCCTTATGCCACTGTCCTCAGCAAGGACTAAGGAAGTTCTTATGGGGCCCCTCCTCGTATTTGATTTCCTACCTCACCATGTCATCCAACCCTCTTGCACTCACTGCCATCATCCTTACACCATTGTCCACCCAAGGCCTCCACCAGAGCTGAGCAAATGCTGGCACGTGCCCTAGAACTAGGCTAAATAAACCTCTTTTCCTTTTTTTTTTTCCTGTACTGGGGACTGAACCCAGGGCCTCATGCTTACTAGGCAAGCTCTCTACCACCATTTGAGCCACAAGCCCTCTTGGGGTTTTTCATTTTGCTTTTTTTGTTGTTTTTTATTATTCATATGTGCATACAAGGCTTGGGTCATTTCTCCCCCCTGCCCACCCCTCCCTTACCACCCACTCCGCCCCCTCCCTCTCCCCCACCCCCTCATTACCCAGCAAAAACTATTTTGCCCTTATTTCTAATTTTGTGGTAGAGAGAGTATAAGCAATAATAGGAAGGAACAAGGGTTTTTGCTGGTTGAGATAAGGATAGCTATACAGGGAGTTGACTCACATTGATTTCCTGTGCGTGCGTGTTTGAGACAGGGTCTCGATACTTCCCGGGCTGACCTCCAACTGCCTCTATTGCCTGAGTAGCTGGAATTACAGGTGTGCATCACCTCACCTCATAAATCTCTTTTCTCATAAAGTACCCAGTCTCAGGTATTTCATTATAGCAATGGAAAATAGAATAATACAGAAAATTGGTACTAAGAGTGGGGTCACTGAAAACAGAGACAGGTTTGGAACCAGGCAGGTCAAAGGAGCAGGCTAGGAAAAGCCTAGAACACTATAAGCAGAATGTTCTGACTGATTCTGGTAAGGTCTCAGAAGGCAAGAAGTTTAGCAAAGTAGTCTAATGGGGAAGCCATGACCCATTCCCAAACTGAAGTAGAGATCACCATTGCTACACGGGGTGTAGGACTTGGATTCATTGTATCCACGCTCTAGAGCTTCAAGAGCTACGGCTGGGGGTGTGGTTCAAGCAGTAAGCAACGGCCTAACTAGCAAAAGGTTAAAACCCCAGTTTCACCACCAAAAAAAGGAATGATGGGCTAAAGCCAGGCGTGTGGTGGCTCATCTTTATAATCCCAGCTACTCACAAAGTGGAGATCAGGAGGATCGTGGTCAACTGCAGGCATAAACTCGAGACCCTAGCTCCAAAATAACCAATCAAAAAGGGTTTAAGGGCATGGCTCAAGTGGTAGATGCCTGACTCACAAGCATGAGGCCCTGAGTTCAAACCTCAGAAAAGAAGAATGATGGGTTAATTTATCTGGCAAATTTTGGACTGACAATTTTTTTCTATTTTTTGTTTTGTTTTGTTTTGTTTGCAGTATTGGGGTTTGAACTCAGGGCCTCGTACTTGCTAGACAACAGACTGACAATTTTTAATTGATAATATTTCTAAATGAACAACTGTATGTGCTATTGGTAGGACTGCTAAACTCTGATGAAAACTAATTATTAATTAATAATACTTAAATATTTAAAAAATACTTAAATTCTACTCACCCTTTAACACACCAATTCAGATTCTAGAAAAAAAAAAATTAAGACACAAATACAAAACTTCAGGCAACAAGCTGAACTAAACTGAAGGAAACACGTGACCTCTCTTCATCCCCTGGCAACAAAAATAAATACTGGACTGCTATGTAACAATTACAACAACAAAAGAAAATAATTAGAAGCTTAGAAATTTTTTTCAGATGCTACAAACAGGAAGAAAATATGAAAGTACTAAGTACATAAGTGAAAAGCCAAGGTTTGTATGTGACTTGGATGTAAGCTCTGGGAAACTGAGGTTTAATACCAGTTTAGGAACACAAAATGTGGCCTTAGGCCTTGGTGAATTTGGTAACTGGCAATGAGACCTTTGTATGGATGTGGGACCCTGAGGAACACTAGCTCCTGAAAAACAGTATCTAGCAGGCCACAGAAACAGTGTGGGAGCACACCACCCACTCCAGGATCTAGGAAGGAAAAATAAGATCTTGGGACAAATTAAAACTTTAAGACGCATACAGACGCAGAGCCCAAAATGTGGTAAGGAAATGCCATATGAAGAAATTAATGTAAAAATTCTGTCCTAAACCACTGAAAAGTCATTGGCAGAGATGATTGTCAAACCACTCTACAAACTAGGAGACTCTCACAGAAAATAATCCCTACAGAAAATGTACTTACCATAAAAAAATGATAAACCATGTGCAGAAACAGTGCACTCTGAGTGAAAATCAGAAGACACAATGAAGAGAAGAATTAGCATACCATGAAACTTGAGATAGCAGAACAATCAAAAGACCAAAAATTTAAAATTATTACAGGGGTTAAGGATAACAGCTCAATAGTAGAGTGCCTGCTTAGCATGCACAGGAACCTGGGTTCCAGTACCAGCACTGCAAAAAAAAACAACAAAAAAAGTAAGACTAAAAAGGGTAAAATCCATACTAAAATAACAGAATTAAAGGAAAAAAAAAAAGAGCAGATATTGAAAAACACGTAATAGAACTTGTAGGAATGGGTAGTGTTATTTAAAGGAAAAAATGGATAAAAGAGTTTGACACAGAAGAAAACACTAATAAATTGGAAAATACTATGTAAGGAAATTACTAACAACATGGGAGATAAAGTGATTTCTAAAATATGAGATAGAAATTTAGAAACACGAAGTTGGACGTGGTGTCACACAACTGCAATCCCGACAGTCAGTAGACTGACACAGGAGGATTGAGAGCCTGAGGCCAGTCTGGGTTACATAGTAAGACACTGTCTTTAAAAACAACAACAACAATAATAATAACAATAATACAAATAACTAGTATCAACAATGACAGGAGCTGGGGATAAAGCTCAGTGGTAGCACTTGCCTAGCATGCACAACACCATGGGTTTGATTCTCAGTACCACCAAGAGAAAAAAAAAAACAGACAAATTCCCTGGAAGACACACAGTACCAAAGCTCACTCAAGACAAAGTGGCCTGGGCTGGCGGAGTGGCTCAAGCAGTAAGAATGCCTGCCTTGCAAGCATGAGACCCTAAGTTCAACTTCCAGTGCTCCCAAAAAAAAAAAAGAAAGAAAGAAAAAAAAATTGCCAAGAAGAAATGGCCTGAATAATCCTATCTCCATTAAAGAAACTGAATTTGTAGTTAAATATTTCCCACAAAGAAAAGTCCAGGTCCAGAAGCTATGAATGCACTAGTAAATTCTACCAAATATTTAAACAAGTCCTGCACAAACTCGTCCAGAAAACTGAAGAGGAAGAAATACACAAAGTATTCTAGGAGGCAAGTATTAACCTGACGCCAAAACAAAATGAAGACATTATGAGAAAAATGGTACAATAGACCAAATTTCCCCCACGGACACAGGTGCAATAATACTTAACGAAATTTTAGAAAATCAAATCCCGTATTATTAGAAAGATAATACATCACGACCAAGCAGAGTTGATCCCAGGAATATAAAGTTGGTTAAAATTTGAAAATCAATCAATGTAAATGACTCTTACGAACAGACCAAAGAAGAAAAACCATATGATCTTATCAACAGAAGGAAAAAAAGAAATTTTGCTAAAACCCAACATTCATCCCTGCTTTAAACTCTCAGCAAACTACAGGTAGAAGGGAACATCCTCATCCTGACAAAGGATGAGGAAGAAACCCATGGCTAACAGCTACTTGGTGACGAAAGAATGCTGCCCTCAAGATCAGGAACAAGGCAAAGATACACACTGTCACCACGTCTACGGAATGATACTGAAGGCTCCAACCAGTGCAGTAAGGAAAGAAACAGAAGTAAAAGGTAACCAGATTAGAAAAGAAGAAGGAAAAATGTCTTTATTCCCAGGAGACATGATCATCTCTGTATAAAATCTTATGGAATCTAAAAAAAAATAAAACAAAAGCTATTAGAACTGACACAAATGAGTTTAGCAAGGTTGCACACAGCAAGATCAATATATGAAAACCAATTTTATCTTTATATAAAAGCAACAAATAATTGGAAATTGAAAATATACCACTTAGAAAAAACATCAAAAATATGAACTATGTAGGGGAAAATTTGATAAAAGAGGCAAGACGTACACAAAACTACACTAAAGAAAACCTAAATAAATGGAAATGGATGAGACATCAATTCTCCCCAAGTTGATTTATATGCAATCCCAATCAAAATTCTAACAGGAAATTGGCAATTTTAAAATTCATATGGAAATGGAAAGGACCTGGAATGTGACTTTGAAGATGGAAAACAATTGGGGAGGATTTATCCTATATGATTTTGAGATTTGCTATAACACTACCGTAAACAGGACAGAGCGGTACTGGTGTAAAGACAGATGAATGATCAATGGAAAAGAGCAGGGGATCCCGAAATAGACTCTCATATGCAAGATCAGTCTTTGAAAACATCTAAATGTCTTTTAATATAAGAGTAGCTAATTGGGCTGGCAGAGTGGCTCAAGTTGTAGAGCGCCTGCCTAGCAAGCACAGGGCACCTGAGTTCAACCCCTACTACCACGGGGGAAAAAAAAAGGGTAAGCCACATATGGTGGCACAGACCTATAATCCTACCAGCATTCGGGAGACTGAGGCAGGAGGATTATGAATATGAAGCCAGCATGGACTACACAGGGAGACTTTGTCTCAAAACCAAAACTTACAATCCCACCTACTCAGGAAGTGGAGACTGGGAACATTATGGTTCCCCACCAGTTCAGACAAAAAGTTCCCAACCTGGGCATGATGGTGTGTTCCTGTCACCCCAGCTACTGTAGGAAGCATAAATAGGATTGCAGTTCAGGCCAGCCTAGGCAAAAAGGGCTTATCTTAAAATAACCAAAGCAAAAAGGGCTGAAGGTGTGGCTAAAGCGGTAGAGCACCTGCCTAACAGCATAAAGGACTGAGTTCAAACCACAGACTGCAAAGAAAAAAGGAAGCTAAATAAATTAAGATTTTTTTTTAAGAATGTGGTACAAAATGAATAAAAAACGAGGAGGAGAAGGATGAGAAGATGTGATACATCTGGACTGAGGATACATATCAGTGGTAGAGTGCTTGCCTAGCATGCAGAAAGCCCTGGGGTTGATCCCCAATACCACACATACACAAAAAAGTCATATATCTATATATAGGAAAATATACAGCCAAGAAGAGAATACGGTAGAGTCAGACATTGTGACTCAAGTCTGTGATCCTAGCACTTAAGAAACTGAAGCAGAGGACTTGAGTTCAAGGTCAGCCTGGGCTACATAGTGAGGCCCTCTCTAAAAAAAAAAAGAGAAGAATGAGGTAGACCTACATCTATTGATATAGAAGAACAGTGCATATAATGCAGCACTTATATTTTTAAAAATTAAACCATGCATGGATTAGGGGGGAGAGTGTTTAAAAGGTCAGGAAGGAATTTATCAATTAACAGTATTTACCCTTGGGAAAGTGTGTAGGGTAAAAGATGACATGTACATATAAGTTTTAATGACGTCTCTTATTTTTAAAAATGAAAGATAGTTCCTGCTCTCCTACAGGACAAGGGAATAATAGACACTCCTGGTAGGTTCATGAAAGCACAAAGCCTGGCCCCAGCTGACCCTTAACCAACGAAAGGTAGGTATTAGAAAGAAAACAGAAAACAGTATCAGATAAGCTCCTCCCCCAAACACAACCATGAGTCCTCAACACCTGCATTAAGTGTGTAAGGTGCTGACAGGTTTCCTACAAAAAAGATGTCATGAAATTGGAGAAGGTCCAAGGTAAGGCAGCTACAAAGATGAAGAGAACAAGGGGACTGCCGTGTGAGGAAAAGCTAAAAGGATTATGATTCTTCAGCTGAAAAGAGTAAGGCAGCCACTGTAGTCAGTTGAGTCATGGTAAGCAGCACAAGTGAGAACAGGATTACACCTTGTCCACCTGAGAGGGAGTCCCTACAACACCTGAGGACAAGTGTGGGACAGATGTAGGAAAACCCACTCAAGGCTCAGAAGTAAACTGCAGCACCTGCATAAGGGAGACAACTTCGAGAGAGTTCTGTACACAAGATGAGAAGAGGAGGCGAAGACAGGACAGAACAGACACACAGCACAGAAAAGTGTCATCATGAATGGGAAACAACCCAATCCTCAGAAGGAGGGAGGTGGCAGCAGTGACCAGCTTTCCCACCTTGGGCACTGTTTCTTCACCATAAACCTCTGCTTCCCTGAGATAACCTGAATCCAAAGAGTGCTAATTGAACTGGAAAACATCAATGAATCCACGATATGAAGCTATTTGTGAACAGGTTACCCGAGTCCATGGGCTGCTGAGGGAGACAGAAACATTCTGCCAGTCTGTGTGGCCTCACTACAAACCCACTAGATGCCACCTTGGATATTCGAAGGCATCACACATGGTACTTTTAGCACCAGTGTGCACGAATATCAATGACCTCTCCTAAGCACATCCAAACCAGATGCTGGCATTCAGAACCTGAGCCAGGGCAGTGACTCCAGTCTTAAGTATAAGTGCTACACTCCAGCACCAAGGCCAGCAAGTCAGCCTGTGCCCAGGCTTGAAACATGAGGTGGCCTAGCAGGGAAATGGCACAATTGACTGTGCAGGGAAGGCTTGGAAAAGGTGATTCCCTGAGGTCAGGTCCCTCTGCCTTTGCCACACCAAGGTAATGGGCACACACCTGCTGACTTACCATGGTTTCCACTCCATAGGCAGTGGGGCCACAATGCCTTCCCGTGCAAGCCACATCAGTTCTGGCTCCTTGATGGGATCAATACCAATCCCTCGGGCAAAATCAACAATTTCTGCACGGAAAAGGAGAGGCAAATGTAAGAGAAATGGGAGGGTGAGAGGGGGGTGGGAAGAAGAAAAAATCACAATCTTTTTCTGATTTTGCCTTTACTTTCCATACTTTCTTCAGTAACAAAGTATTACTTCTCTAGAAATAAATGATAACCATAGACAAGTGTTTCCTTACCTCACAATTTATAAATGCACACCTGAATCATGTCATGCTATCTCCATACTCCCAAGAACACAATCTGAAGCCACGTGTAACAAGGACCAAAAATAATGAAACCAAGACTTCATTGTGGCAGGGCTCAGGAAGAACCCAAAGCCACAGACAAACCATCCAGGAAGAGCCTTACAGGAGGAGATAAGCTCTCCCAAGATTTACGAAAGCTTGGCAAATGCCCTCATCCCTCAATCAGCAAGCATGTACTGAAAAGCTACCAAACTCCTTGAGACCCTTACAAACACACTAACAGGGTATATGAACCAGGTAACGTATGCTGTGAAGGTGACATGTACCATGTACCACAAGAGCAGAGAAAAGGCAGTAAGTGATTCCGCCCAGGGGCAGGAGATACCAAGTTCAGAAAGTGGACGATATTCAGGCAGCCTTCTTCCCCACCTAATAAGCCCTCTATTCCATAAGGGAACTGTTTCATTTTCAATTTTGCTATCTAGTTTGGGCTCTGTATTCTTGGAATCAAGCATCTAGAAGAACTCTTTTTGCTAAGATCTGGAAGAACAGGAGATATATGTGCTGAGTTAAGAGCTATTGCACCTTTAGAAAAATAGAAGAGATATCATTGACGGTGCCACTGAAGACCCCAGGAAAAATGAAACAAATACTCAAGTTGCATCAATGCTTCAAGCAGTAATAACCCAGGCCAGAAGTATCACCAGGACAGGTCATCTCTGAGGAGAACTTGGAGGGCAATATCCCTGGGGACAAGGAAATAAAAAAACACTTTTTTCCAAGGACCAACTGGAACTTGGTTGTCGAGGAACTACTTTATTCATTGATTTCAATGAATAAATCAGTATTTTTTGAGTGCCTCCAAAATACCAGTCACTCTGTGCTTAAATAAAGAGAAATGGCCACTACCTTACAGAGCTTATATTCTAATACAAGAGACAGCCAGAAAGAAGTAAATAGAGACAGTAGCTCACACCTGGAATCCTAGCTACATAAATAAGGCTGAGATCCAGAGGATCAAGGTTTAAGGCCAGCCTGGGAAAATAGTTCTTAAGACCTCATCTCCAAAATAATCATAGCAAAATGGACTGGAAGTGTGGCTCAAGTGGTAGAGTGCCTGCTTTGTAAGTGTGAAGCCCTGAGTTCAAACCTCAAAAAAATATATAATAATAATTAATAAATAATTCTAGGGCTAAAGGGAGAGTGTGTACTTAGCATGCATAAGGTTCTGGGTTCAATCCCCAGCACCAAAAAACTAAAAATATAAAAATGAAAAACTTCATGGCAATCAACCAAGCAAACATACCATGCTATAAGCCAAGTCCAAGGTTTAATGTGAGACCACCAGCTCCCAGGGAGGCAAGGGTTCTCAACCCATTCAACAGGCCCACAAGCCACACAGGTCATGAGCAAGATTTGTATCCAGGTCCACAACTCCCCAGAATTTCAAAGCAAACTTCACTCCAAAAATAGCATGGTGTTCCAGAGGAAAAGCCCTGGAGTGAGAATACCTGGGTATGGATCCCAGCTGTACCACTTAGCAGAACTGTGTAACTCTGGGAAAGCTACTTAACCTTCCTGTGCCTTCATTTCCTTTTCTGTAAAAGAGGGACAGTAATAGCACCTGACTCAAGGAGGCACTGTGGGGTTTGAAAGGGTAATAATAAACATAAAGTTCTTAAAACACAGACAGGCACATAGCAACACTAAAATAAGTTATGACATGATTGTCATTAACAATATCATTATTGTTTAAAAAACAAACAGACTAGTTTGTTCTTAAGAAACTGGGTTTTCCTGGCCTGATTCCATAAAATCCTCTACTATCTTTTCATTAAAAACTAACCATTGGCCAGCTGGGTGCCAGTGGCTCACACCAGTAGTCCTAACTACTTGGGAGGCAGAGATCAGGAGGATCTCAGTTCGAGGCTAGTCCAGGCAACAAAATTACTCAATACAAAAAAGGGCTGGCAGAGTGGCTCAAGTGGTAGAGTGCCTGCCTAGCAAGCATGACACCTTGGGTTCAAACCCCAGTACCATAAATAAATAAAGTAATCATTGATCGAACCCAGGGTCAGCAAAGTTTTTCTGGGACAGGCAGGCAATAAATATTGTAGGCTTTGGGAGTCACATTGCTGTTGTAGAATGAAGGCAGCCATAGACAATACAAAAACAAACTCAGCCACTTTCCAATAAAACTTTATTTACAAAAACAGGCAGTGGGGGTGGGGAGAAAGGGGGCAGGGGCAGGGGGAGAGATGGCCCAAACAAAGTATGCACCTATGAATAAATGAATAAACAATTAAAAAAGAAATCTAAAAAACAAACAACAAAAAAAACAAAAACAGGCAGTGTGGCAGGTTAGGCCCATGGGCATTTTCAAACTCTAAGCCAAATCTACTTAGCAGCCCTGTGCATGTACCACACATAGCACTAAAAGACCAAAAACAAATCAGACATAATACCTGCCCTCAAAGAGCTATTACAACACACCCAAGCCTCTTACCTTGCTCACTGGGAATGTAGGTCTCGTCATAATCTTCCTCCAGAACCAGCTGGTCTCCTATGCGGATGGGTTGTCCAGCCATGATTGGTCTGGGCTTATATTCCTAGATCCCAGACACCCCACCAAAGAGAACTGCAGTGAGCCAGCTTGAAAGGTGAAACAGGCTTCTGCACCTGGGAAAGTTCCCCAAGACGCACCTCCCAAACACTACTGAACACTCAGTGAACCACAAAATATCTGCAAGCCTGGCTCTCTAGAGTTTGTCTTTACATCCTCCCCAAAACAAGAGAAGGAATTACAGTACAGGTTTCCCAAGTAGAAAACCCCAGTAGCACCCAAATGACAGACCCCCATATACTAGCATACTCCAATGTGTCACATGACAACATCCAACAATGCCACTGGGAGCTTGCAATCCAGGGGAGGAGCATGCACAACTTTAGCATTTGCAGAAGGTGGAAGGGAAAGAAATCTGCTCCACAAGTACTAAGACAAAAGTACCAAATTCCCACTGAAGGACAAAGAAGGCATCCTAGGCAGGGAGCATGGTGTGTGGGTGTTGCAGAGCAGGACAGCAGTGCATGTGGCAGGGGCTGGCCATGGGGAGCCTGTAGACCATGCTAAAGAGCCTTGAACCTGCCCTGTAGCAAAGCAGAGTCATGGAGAGCTTTGGAGAAAAGAAGTGACACAGGGTGGCTTATTTTTTAGGAGAAGAACTAGGATAGGACTGGTGTGGCAGAATTGGAGAAATGAGAAACTGGTGTCAGGAAAACCACTTGAGAATGCTGCAATCCAAGTGAAAGACAATGAGAGCTTAAACTAGGGCAGAAGCAACAGGAATGGAGAAGGGACACACACAATGGATGCAGTGATATTAGGCTTAATAGGGCTAGGATGTGAGAAGGAAAAAAGAGGAAAGGCATCGAAATAGACTAGGATGTGTCCCTACAAAATTCAAACACTGAAACCCCAACTTGCAATGTGACTTCATCAGAAAAAGGGTCACTCGGAAGTAATTAAGGTTAAACAAGGTCATAAGGGTGGGCCCTGACCTGATAGGATTAGTGTCCTTATAAGAAGAGGAAAAGAACTCTCTGATCTTTCAGATTCTCTGCCAAGTGAAGATACAGTCAGAAGGATATGCCATTAAGACTAAACCTTGATCTAGGACTTCCAGCATTCAGAACTGTGACAAAATAGATTTCTGTTGTTTAAATCACTCCATCTATGATACTGTTATAGCAGCCCAAGCTACCTTGAATCCAAGGTATTTCCAGCTCCAGGAATGGGGTGGTGCCAAAATCTTAACTAGCAAGCTGGTACAGTTCCATATGTGTGCTATATTTTACTTTATTATTTCATTTTTATTTGCAATGCTGAAAATCAAATCCAGGGTTTCATAAATGCTAGGCAAGTGCTCCACCACTGAGCTATACCCCTAGCCCTGATACAGGGCTAGACTGCTCCTCCCTTCCATCCCTAATCCCCCCACTATCTTAGTACTCCACATTACACTAACTTCCCCCATGGCAGCTCCCATGCTGAAACCTAAGGAAGGAGAGATAAGCTGTGGACAGCCCTGCTGAGAACCCACCTCCACCTGAAGAGTTAGCCACACCAGGTGTGACAAACACAACAAGTCCTGACCTCTCCTGTCCCCACTTCAGAAGCTATCGATATTCCACCTGGGGCAGCCAACATGAAACGGCCCTTTTTGAACAGAAAGAGTGCCCCCTCCCCAACCACAAAGGTCAGGTCCTGGCCTGGAGGGAGTGTTTAGCTAAACCTGGTGACTCTGAATCTATCCCATATCTCTAGAGACAGACCCCCTGACAAGCAATAAAGGCTGCATCAAGGCCCCTTACCATGGCCTCTGTGACCCTGGCAGCCAAGAGGGGTCCTGAGTTAGGACTCAGACATCAATCTCCTGGTCAGTCCACCAGACCCCAAAGGAACCAGATTCTTCCCCTCTCATTCCCACTGAGCCACCTCTCATCAGGAAGAAAACACCAAGGGAAAAAGAACTCTTCTATGACCTGCTCCCAACTCTAAGGATCTGTAACCCCGCCCACAAACAGTGCTCACATCTCAACACACAGTAGCCTCTACACGCACAGATGACAAGGGCCTGGCTGCCACAGGCTCTCAAACGCACAGCAGAAATGGCCAGGAACCAGGGCAGCAGATGGAGCTCAAGAAGCCACCTGAATCTTTAATCCTCTTAATTAGGGCAAAGAGAGACAGAGAAAAGGAAAGGACCAAGGGCTGGGGGGTACTCAATAGTGACCCAGCATCAGGGTGAACAAGCACAAGGCATTGTGTTAACTATCTCACAGAATGTGCGAAATCTTGCATCCCTAGATGCATCCCACCTGCAGAACGCATGGGACAGGTACAGTCTCTGTCCTCTTGCCAAAAAAAAAAAACGAATTAGCTGTGCACCTCGTCATCCACATTTAACTATTTAGGGCCAGGAAGTACATGGAAAAAAATCTAAATTAATGAATCATCCAAATTACAAATAAATCTTCTGCCAAAAAATTTCTAAATACAGACAGGTGATATTCCTCCTTCTTTCCTCGTATTTCCTAACTTCAGAGATGTGGACAAGGACAAGGCCAAAAGGGCAAGGAGTTGCAGGAAGAGGAGTGTGAGGAGAGACACCACATTTCTTTATGCCTGGTAGAGACCACTTATTCATTGGCAAGCTGTTTGCTCTCTGCTAGGCACGAACAGAGCAATGGTGATTACAGATTCACTTGTCACTCCCTCCAACTTCAGTCTAGTGAGGACTGCTTGGGCAAACTGTCCCAAATAGATGGGTAATTAGAGATAGGGTACAAGCACTGAAGGTAGTAAGCCTGATTAGATGGTGCCTATGAACTGATCGATGAGTTCATTCCCTCAACAGAGAGAGAAGAAAACGTGTTCTAATAGCAGAAGCAGCCCATGTGCAAAGGCCCGTCATCAGGGAACACCACCAAGCAAGAAGCAGCACAGCTCCAGAGGATGAAGGAGAGTTGAGCAGAGGCCAGACCATGCCTGGACTTAGCCTTCATCATAATGTAACTGGAAGCCAGGAAAGGGTTTTTCCAGTTATGAGAAAATGGCTCTGGCAATCACTGGGAGTACAGAGTGGAAAGAAGCCAGGCTGAGAGGAAGGAAATCAGAGTGACTGTGGAGAGATGAGGTGGAAACCATGAGATGGCTGAGAAATGGAGTCTGGGCTCCATTTCTAACAGAGAGGATGAGAAGTCAGGACTTCTAAGGCAGGCCTTTTCCTCCAGGCCTGGCACTGGGAGGGACATTCTAGTCAATCATGGCACCCTAGACAGAGCCTCAGAGCTCTCAACATTGTCCTCCCTGCAGTTACCAGATGAGACTTGATGAGGTGTACTTGCCACCTGGTCTGAGCCCACTAGAGCCTTACAGTCGGGGAGGAGGGTCACTCAATTGCACCCATCCATTTCCTGCCAATCCCAGCATCTAGCAAAGAAGGAGTGGTCCACACCCTTCTCCAGGAACCCTTCCCTTGTTAACCTCCTACCCCAGAATCACAGCAGCCCTGGGGACATAACTGTCATGTGTTTATAGGCATATGTCTCTCAACACTGTCTTTCTTACAGGAATGGGTCCAACCTCTCCCTGCTAAATCACAGACCTATGAGGCCCATGCCTCCTCCTCTTGAATGTTCCAAGCAAGCCTAAAATAAGCCCATGGAACCTGTAGAAGCTCAGTTACTGCTGCAAAACATTAACCCAGAGCTAAGGAATCTCAGGAGCTGGAAAAGCCCATGGTAGCACTGGTCCAACTCCCCTTCCCAGGCTAAATATTTCCTCTCCATGTTTTTTTTTTCTTCCTGGTGGTACTGGGGTTTGAACTCAGGGCTTCGCACTTGCAAAGCAGGCGCTCTAGTACTTGAGCCACACCTCCAATCCATTTTTCTCTAGTTATTTTGGAGATGGAGTCTTGCAAATTATTTCCCCAGCCTGGCTTCAAACCTTGATCCTCTGGATCTCAACCTCCCAAGTAGCTAGGATTACAGACATGAGCCACCAGCATCCAGCCCTCTCCATGCTTTAAGCAGCAGATAACACAGTGGTCCAAGCACCAGCTTTGAGGACAGAAAACCTGGATTCAAATCCCAGATGGCTCACTTGCAGCTATATGACCTTAGGTAAGGTACTTCACCTTTAAGCCTCCACACAATCACGACAGTCTGTGTCAAAAGGCTGTTTGAGAGTGAATGAGCTAATACTTAAAAGCTGCCCAGCACAGTGCCTGGAATACACTAACTGTTAAACTTAGTATTACTGATATCAACAAAAATAAAAGCATCTTGGGCTAATGGTATACCTCAGTGCTAGTATGTGCTTACCAAGTGCACAGCTCTGGGACCAATCTTCAGCATCACAAAAAAATAAAAATAAACAAAGTATCTCAAAGTGTTCTGAGGATAAAATGATTCAATGTAAAATGCTTAAAATATAGTAGGGGCTCAGTAAGTGTCCAATATTACTGTATTATTACTGTTACTACTTACAAATTTAAAGGACTTTGATTCTCAGAGGATACATTCAGCACCAAGGAATATAAACTAAGGTTATTCAGATATTCAATAGCCATTAGTTGAACACCTACATGGGTCAGGCACTGTACTACATGATGGGGCTACGTAACTGACTAAAGGAGAGGCAGACATATATATAAACACATTAACTACATCACATGGTAAGCATAATTAAGAGAAGTAGTAGAAAATATACCAGAATGCAATGTTAAGGGCAACTAACATTACTTTGGCAGATTAGAAGATGAGGGAAACCATCAGAGCAGATAGCCACTGAGTTGGCTCTTAAAGGATAAGCAGATCACCAGGCTAAGGGAAGTAAGAAAAGTTAAGGCAGAAGGAACAGAATGCACAAAGGCAAAGAGGCAGGACAGAGTATGGAGTGGGATGCAGAGAGTTAATTATGACAACAATGATTGTGAACGCTTCCTATGTTCCAAGAACTGTACTGAGGGCTTTACATACACCCTCTCTGCTAGATAGATTATCTCCAGTTTTCAAGTAAGGAAACTGAGGCTTAGCAAGTTTTTTAAAACTTACCCAAGGTTTCACAGCTAATTAATGGCACAGAAAAATGTACATGCATCCATGTCTATCTGACTCCAAAGCCTGGTCTCTTAACCACTCTGACATAACCAGAGTGCAAAGGTCAGTGGGAGGAGTGACAGGAAAAATATCTAGAATGGAAGGCAAGGCACATACAGTAGACCCTTAGTCTACTAAGGGTAGGTATGTGGTTCCAAGGAGACCACCACTGAAGAAAAACTGCGGGTGCTCAGGATACACAGAGATCAGCACTGTACTGCAGATGCTTGATTCATTTTTCCCATAAGGCTGACTTTCAACAAATCTAAAATTCTCATTCATCACGTCAAGCACATTCACTTTTAAGTTGCATTTTGGGAGGCAGATTTTCACAAAATCAAGGGCAGAGAAACCCTTAGCAGGTCACACAATGACTTCAGCACAACTGATGAAATCTGGAACTGACCGAGAGCTTCTCCCCAGCAACTCAGGTGCACAATGTGTACGAGGGAATTTAAAATGTTTACTTTTTAAATTTCTTTTGATTTATTTATTTTGACCACAAGTTTGGTCAAAACTGCATGTAATTAATCCACAAAGTGGGCTTACTGTATTATAAAGGGCTTGGGAAGATTGACGCTGTCTGCTGTAGGTGATGATGGGTCCTCAACAGGATTTCACAGAGAAGATAATCACGATGAGACTTACAGTTGAGAAAGGTGACTCTGGGGCTGGTGGAGTGGCTCAAGTGGTAGAATGCCAGCCTAGCAAGCATGAGGCCCTGAGTTCAAACCCCAGTACCTCCAAGGGTCTTCTGCATAAGAACTAATTAGAGCCAGGCACCGCCCACTGGCTCACATCTATAATCCTGGCTACTAGGGAGGCTGAGATCGAGAGGACTGAGGTTTGAGGCCAGCTCAGGCAATAGTTCGAAAGACCCCATCTCCAAAATAACCAGAGCAAAATGGAGTAGGCCCTGAGTTCAAACCCCAGTCCCACCCCCCAAAAAAATAAAAAGAAAGAAAGAATTAAGAGAGAGGGCAAGAACAAAGGTACAGAAACTTCTTCAGAAGCACAGCCAAGAAATCATTAATAAGTAGGTGGCTGTGAGAACGGGAAGGAAGAGCTGATATTTAGGGGTAGCAGCAGGCAGAAAAAGAGGATTCATGTAGTTGGTGAAGAGGAGGGAGGAGGGAAACCAGAGCACTTCAGCCAGTACCTTGTGATTATTCTAGGCTTTGTCCCAGGGACAACCCCCACCATACTGCCTCGAACACAGGACCTACCCAACACTTGTGGACTCCCAGTAAGGACTTGGCTGAGTGAGTGGTGAAGTCCACTGAGACGGGAAACACAGGGGGGTAGGAGCAGATCGTGGGACCAAGGGAGGCAGGAGCCCGTCAGTGCGCAGATCTAAGCTCGGGAAAGAGGAATGGCTGGGGAGATGGAGAAGAGGGAAGCCAAAGTGCGGAGAGCGGTTACAGAGGGGCTGATAACATTCTTGAATCACTGCAGAGAAAACGGAAAACTTCCCAACTTCCCCAGCTGGCTAAAAGGTGGCGTGAGGTTGGGCTAGCCCGGGATTCGCTTACCGAGGGGTGATGGGGGAGGCCTCCCAAGAGGACTCAGGGAAGGTTGGAGGCCGGCCTCACACTGACCAGCCAGGGGAGCCGCGAGCCCCCACGCCGCTCGCCGGCCTCACTCGCACCCCGCCATCGCTCACTCTCCCGCTAGGCCCGGGTCCCGACCCAGACACCCGCTCCGCTCCGGGCGGCCAGGCGAGGTTTTGAAAGATGCACACTTGTCCCGCCGCTCCTCTTTCACTTCTTCTCTCAGTTCCCCCCCACACCCGTGCACAACCCGTTCGCTGGCACACATCACCTCCCCGGCAACCCTCCTCTCCCCGCCAAGCCATCCCACGCCGTCCCCAACGGGTCCTCACCTGTCCCCCACGCCGGGAGGATCCGGGCGACGAAGCTGCGCCGCTTCCCCAGCACCACCCCGGCTCCCCGCTTCCAGGGACGCCGGGGTGTTGCCCTGCAGGTACCAGCAACCACTTCCGGAAGGGTGCCTACCTAGCAACTGAGAGTCCCGCCTCTACCCAGAGCCAATAGGTCAGTGGATGAGAGCTCTCGCATTGGATTGGTTTGAAGTTCCGTCAGATCATGCAGGATACACGTTTTCCGATGCATGATGGGAGTTGTAGTTCAACACTCTTGCTAGAGCTCCACAAGGGATTAAAAGAGAGCTCTGAATTTAGAGATGAGAATTTTCCAGTGCAGGAAAGAATCATTCATAGTATTAATAATAACGTGAATTATCCAACGCAATTTTATGACCATCAATTTAAGGAGAGTTATTAATATCATGTGAATAACACAGTGACCATCAATAATCAGCCCATCCATTGACTGGGCCTTTAATAAACAAAAGAAATATGAATATAAGACAGTAGAGACCCCCGTTCCACTCTCATCCACCCACCGTCCCCCAAAACACAAAGCCGATTCACTCTGTACTCTGATTAAATCAATGAGCACCTGATCAAGAATTAGGAGACCAAGTTTCTACTACCCATCTTTTCACCAGAACAGTTGGCATGCCTGCAAAGGAGATAATAATGTCTTTCATAATTATTTCAGAGTCTGTTGAAGAAGATTAAAAAGTGACACAATGTGTAGACCCTCCAGACATCTTGTATGGCAGAAGGATTGCAGAATAGTAGAGACATTTCTAGTTGAAGAGGAGGCAATGACGGCAAGCATCTGAAACAGCTCCTGATAGATTCTAGAGATGTATCTGGCTCCCACTAACTTTTAAAACCGGTCCCCACACCAATTGGAGCCTGGTCCCACAATGCAGAACTGACATTGTTGTTCCTATAGATCCCAAAGCAATAGCCAGGACATGTGCCCTGGGTTCTAACTTCAAATCTTTCTGCTGCTTGTCCATACTTCCTTTATTCTCACTCTCCACACTCCTTAAATGTCTCATTGAGGGAACAAAGGGGCCATACTGGAAAAGACTCCAAAACTCACCAGTTTGTCCACCACAGACCTCACAAAACACCATTTATAGCTCCCAGTATCTAAAAACTTGCAATCAGGAGTAGTGATTCAAGTGTTAGTGTAGAGTGCCTGCCCACCAAGCCTAGCAAGCCTAGCAAGCATGAGGCCCTGAGTTCAAACCCCAGATCCACTTAAAAAAAAAAAACTTGCAATCAAATCTGGTTAGGTTTGTTTTTTTCAGTGCTGGGTTTGAACTCAGGGCCTCACGCTGGCTAGGCAGGCAGGTGCTCTACCACTTGAACTATTCTACCATCCCTGTTTTGTGTTGAGTATTTTCAAGGGTCTCTCAAACTGTTTGCCCAGGGCTGGCTTCTAACTGTGATCCTCCCGATCTCTGTCTGCTGAGTAGCTAAGATTACAGAGTGAGCCACTGGCGTCTGGCATTGCCTCCAAAAGCTTAACTTTTGCCCGGCTTGGTGGCACTCAGGAGGCAAAGGCAGGAAAACTGTACATAGTGAGACCCCATTAAAAAAAAGAAGCATACATTTACTTCTTAATATGAGTTCCTAGCTCATGGGAAGAGCTAATAAAATAGGGATACTGTGGGATTATCCCCACACAGATAAATAATTTGTACATTATTGGGTTTCCCCATAGGTTTGTTCTCAGAAATATAAACTAATTTATCAAGTGCCCTTAGACAAACAAAATTAAGAAAGTAAGTCTTTGGGGGAAGGGAATGGGAAAAATAGCAAAAATTAACAAAAACCTGATAACACAGGAAAAACTTGATAACAATCAGTGAGGAAGAGAGAGAATGTCATCATTGTAGGTTATCTTCTAGAGTCAAGAATGAACTTTTAGGGGTGACTTCTTCAAAGACGGAGGAGACAATCAGTCACAAATATTTCCCTACCCCAGGTCAGAAATCCACTGCCAGGACTTTTTCATACTGTTTATTTGGGATATACAGAAAATATCCCACATAAAAAGAAACAAAATCACTGAGCGCTGGTGGCTCACACTTGTAATCGTAGCTCCTTGGGAAGCTGAGATCACTGCTTTGTAAGTTGGAACCCTGCATTCATACCCCAGTCCCACAAAAAAAAAGCACTTGTTAATCCTACCACTTTATTTATTTATTTATTTATGGGATTAGGATTTGAACTCAGGGCATCAAACTGGCAAAGCAGGCTCTACTATTTGAGCCATACCTCCAGTCCATTTTGCTCTGGTTATTTTAGAGATGGAGTCTTACAAACGATTTGACGGGCTGGACCTGAACCATGATCCTCTGAATCTCAGCCATCCAAGTAGCTGGGATTACAGGCATGAGCACCAGCACCCAGCTTCCTACCACTTTTTTAAAAGATGTAAAGATGTGAAATGCTCCCTCTACAGTTTCTTGTTTGTTTGAGATAGGGTATGGCCATGTAGCCTAGGCTACCCCCAAACTCACTAAGTACCCAAGCTGGGTTCAAATTCTTGATCCTCTTGCCTCAACTTCCCAAGAGCTGAGATGATAAGAACGTGCCACCATGAGGAGCTTTCCTCTAGGCTTTCAATCATCTTATTTAAAACTGCAAACTAGCTGGATGCCTGTAATCCTAGCTGCTCAGAAGGCAGAGATTAGGAGGATCTTGATTCAAACTCAGCCCTGGACAAATAGCTGCGAGACCCTATCTCAAAAATACCCAACACAAAAAAGGGCTGGTGGAGTGGCTCAAGTGATAGAGTGCCTGCCTAGCAAGTGTGAGGCCCTGAGTTCAAGCTCTGGCACCACAAAAATAAATAAAATTGCAAACTGTCCTTCCGTGTTCCTTCTTTGCTTTATTTTTCCCCATAGCATGTATCACCATCTGAAATAATTTGTATTTTAATTATTTATTGTCCAGTCATCTTATTTCCTGTAATATCCCCAGTGCCTACAACAGTATCTAGTAAGTAGTAGGTCCTCAGTGTCACTCCCTGGATGAATGAACTGAGCAAATGAAGGAAAGAAGGAATCCCTGTGAGGCACAGGAAGCTACTGTTGGTGTTCTGGCTCCTACCTACCAGATTTTTTGATGTTTATGTAGACAATGCATACTTACTCATTTTTAAAGAAATGAAATCATAGTATTTCTTGTTCTAAAATATACTTTATCCATTAGACATGTCATAAACATCTTCCAAAGTCATTTCATAAGAAACCATGGCATTTTTTTGTGTGGGACGCTTGCTAGGTAGGTGTTCTATCACTTGAATCAAATCTCTAGCCCTATGGCATTGTTTGTTAATTGTCATTTAGGGTGTCACTGACTAAGTGTCAAACACCTCAGTCTCCAGGGGTGGTCATTTACTTTGTTTCCAAAGTTCTGATATTGTACACACTGCTGAAATTCTGTTGTTTTGTCGAATAGGGTGCTAAAGTGGCAATGCTTATTAGAGTTTGCATTTTTACATTTCAATAGGCATCGCCTACTTGTCAAGTTATTCTCCAACCAATACCTTTGCCAACATGTTACTACTCTGAGAAAGAAGAAAGGGAAGGAGGAGCAGAGGGAGATATAAAGAGAGGAAAGCGAGGAGAGAGGGAGAGAAGAAGGGATGGAAAAGAGAAGAAAGAAAATTGTATTTAAATGCTATTTTAACACATACCTTCTTTTGCTATTAATAAAGTTGGAATTAAGACAAAGTCAGAAAAAATAAAGTTGGACTTTTTTCATGTTTATTGGCCATTTGAAGTCCTTCTATGAATTACCTTTTATTTATTTATTTTTGTGGTGCTGGGGTTTGAACTCAGGGCCTACACTTGAACCATTCTACCAGCCCTTTTTTTGTGATGTTTTTCCAAGATAGGGTCTCAAAAACTATTTGCCCAGGCTGGCTTCCATCCACAATCCTCCTGATCTCTGCCTCCTCAGTAGCTAGGATTATAGGCGTGAGCCACCGGCACCCAATCTGTTTTTCTGCCACATTATTTATTGATTTCTGGAAGTTCTTGGAATATTCTCATTAACCCTTTGTCTCTAAATGTTTCCTGGTATGTGACTTACCTTTTAACTTTGTAAATGTCACTCTTCTCAGTCATTGTAGTAGCAATACTACTAATAGGTAACCTTTATTGTGCGTTTACAGTATGCCCAACACCATTTTAAGTGCTTTATATGGATTATCTCATTGGTTTTTTTACATTATAAGGTTCAGACTATCATTACCCTATTTTACAAATAAGGAAATTGATACACAAAAAGGCTAAGTAACAAGTCTGTGGTTCCCAGTGGAAGAACCAGAATTGGAATAGTGACAGTATTAGAGTACTTCGGATTCTGCAGAAGTTTTAAATACTTAAGTAACCAAACCTGTCCAGTGTGTATTTTTTCTGGATTTTATTAAGAAGGCCTTCTTTAACATAAATTATGAAAATATTCTTCTATTTTTTTCTTGAAGTTCTATTTTTAATATTAAGCTCATTGATCTATCTGGAGTTTATTTTTGGCCGAGATATGGATTTGGTTTTTCTTTCCTTCCAAATAGATTGCCAAGTATATATCTATTTCCCTTTGATATTGAAGCAAGATAGACCAGGGAAAATGAGGCATAGGAGACAGGAGCCAGGAATTCAGAGATAAATATTGAATTAGTGAATAGCTTGCAGAAAGCACACAGGCACTATTGCTTGAAACTTCACACTCCCTCAGTAAGCTGCAACAGATAGTTTTAAAAAAAGCTCTCCCTGATTTTCCCACTTGCCCAAATAACTACTACACTCTGGGAACTGAGCAAGAATATCTGAACTTTTCTTTTACTTTATTGCTGGATTAGAGATTGAAATCAGGGCCTTGAGCTTGCTAGGCAAATGCTCTACCATTTGAGCCATGCCCTCGGTCCTGAGCAAGAGTATCTTATAGAGAGGCTGACAGAGTGGCTCAAATTGGTAAGAGCACCTGCCTAGCAAGCGTGAGTTCAAACCCCAGTACCACAAGAAAAGAAAAAAAAAAAGAGTATCTTATAGAAAAACACTTATCCTTTAAGCAGCCAGGCACAGTGGTTTACATT